CAGGTCGACTATGGTTTCTTGTCTTGCTCGTTCGCTGATTTATCAAAATTTCTTTCCTCAGTTGAGAGTAATAAGAATTCAGAATATCAACAAAAAACACTGGTGTCTAAAAAAACATTGACAGGAAGAAGGCAGAGAGGAATTTGGCGAAATCAGCTGGGGCGTTGCGGGGGGGGGCTTAAGGCCACAAGGCATATTCCTGCTCTGCAACCAAGAAATGTATAGAGCAGGACATTATACATCCATCCATCCATCCATCCATCCATTATCAACCGCTAATCCTGCGTACAGGGTCACTAGGGGCTGGAGCCAATCCCACCTGACATCGGGCGAAAGGCGGGGTACACCCTGGACAGGTCGCCAGTCAAGACATTATACAGTTGAAAATAAACATTGCAACCATTGTTACAGTGATTACGATTCTAATTTACTGCAAACATGTCTTTGGCATTTCTGTACAGAACTGTTTGGTGCACATGTCGGCTGACATGTCTACTATAAGCTAATACTGGCCAGGAATATCAGTGGGGCAATTTTTTAGTTGGGCTCTAATGGTGAGCCCAATATGCTTTAGCTGTGGTTTGGTCTCACCAACTCTTGCGAATAATATCTAGCTCTTTAGCCGCAAGATGTTTGACTTCCTCACCAGCTAGTTTAGTTGCTAACTCCATATTGGGTTTATCAGAGTTTGTCTGCTGAAAACATATGCCTGCTGCTTTTGTATAAAGAGCAGTGAGACTGAAGTCTGCAATAAATTGGGGGGCCATTAAATCAAAAATAATGAACTAAAAAAGACTAAAAAGCTCACTGACCCTCTGTGGGTTTGTCATTACAAGTAACACCTCACATTAATTTAATACAATGTTAATACTGAAAAATATTGACAAATGCAGCTGACTTGCGTGCATGCTGGATTGTTCATTCAACATGGGATAAACAGAAATATATAGTAAAAACAAGACATTGTGGTTTTAGCAGCAGTTAGCTATTTCCTGATCAACAACAGCTGGGCACAAGGAGCATCTTAAAAGCCCTCTCCTGTACACTGCGACTCAAACACAGCCCAAACCCAAGATGGCTCTTGGGTGTAAATAAGAGCTTAGAAATTGTTGTTGTTCGGTTTTGATGAAGCTGAGCTAGCAGTTTCCCCCTGCTGTGTGTCTTTGTGAACCCAAGCTAAACACCTCAGACCAGTACTGCACACACATAGAAACTGATACCAGTTTTCTTATCTGACTCTGTGACAGCAAATAAGCATGTTTTCAACAATATTTGAGTTTTACATAACTACTATGCTCACCACTACATACTGTGCTGTTACTAATGTTATTCCATCTTGTTACAACTAGCGTAATCATATTTCCACACCACACAAATTATACACTTGGTATTTTTTTGTAGCTCGTCTATATTTAATAGCGATTACCGCCCTCTCCATATGAATGTGTGCTACATGTCAGTTAACCGTGTACAGTAACGTGACCCTCTAAGGCAAATACGCTGTATCTCCAGCTCATCACAACAGGGTGTTTAGAAAGCTGGATCACACCGTATTCAGTGTGCTGTTCATGTTGCCATCAGGCACGTGGATCATAACTGCGCTGACGACACACAGGACGAATAGTAGCATTACATCCCATGAACTAAGTACAACAGATCCAGTTACAACATAATATAGGTTTAAGAATGATTCTTCATTTCTGTTCACTCTAAACCTAGTTATTATGGTACAGTCTTTATCAGCTATTTATAGATTATTCTGACATCCCATTTTCAAGTAATTAGTTAAAACTATGGCTTTGAGATTTGTAATTTGATTTAAATTACCTTATTTATTCGCTAATGAAGGTTCAGCTCAGGAGCCTGAATGACTGGATTTTACTGTAAGCAGCTCATGTATGGGAAATCCATTGCAATAAAAAGTAATTATTTAACAGGGAACATAAACCTTCAGGGCATTAACACAGAATTTCCATCTCTGTACATACTGTATATCACTGTAAGCAGCACCAAGCTGGTGGAAGTTTTGTAAATATAACATCAAGAGTATACACTGAAGGATTTTTAATGGGGAAAAATCATTATACTGGTTGTTTGGCTTCTGCTGACGGGTGACTGGAGGTCATGGCGTTTCCCCAGCATTTAATTCACCACTACATAATGTGATAACGCTACAGACAGCCCGGGCAGCCAGGGGAGCATTAAAGGGTTAACGTTCAGGCGCGTAAATACTGTTCGTTGCTCTGAAGGGCTCGTTCACCAAACGAAACACGATTAACAAATGATCTATACCCCAAAAGACATCCCGAGTGCAGCCGAACACCATGAAACATGTCAAAACAAAGACTGCTGCAGGGACAGACGTGTGTGGCAACAACTACAACAACAGGAGGGAAATATAACATGATGGTAACAGGGATTTGGCCGAGATCATTCCAGTTTATGTACGTCGGGGAAAGTGATGAGCGGCTGTGGACGATTCGTCTCGCAGTGAAACAAAATGAGCAATTAGCTATAGCTCAAAGTAGTGACACACCAGCTCAGTGAATGTGTATAACTGTATTATTTTCCCCTCTAAAGCTTAAAGACATCCAATACGGGCTATTGTCAGCCATAGCTGCAGCCTGGCAGGAAGGCAGTAACGTTACGGGGCTGAGCTCAGACTCGCGTCGTGATTTCCAACCCTGCCGTGTAAAACCACTCGGTGAAAGCTGGGAGAACGGCTTGAATTTGACAACATTCACAGACAATATGAGCGAAATGTCGGCCTGAAAGCGGTTAGGAAGAGGGGCAATAGGAGAGAAGCGAGCAGCGAGTCTGCCGAGGCTTCCCCCGCTGCCTCCACCGCCCGCTCGTTACGACGGGAACGCTTTAGTTCGGGGCTATGCGGAGAGGTTAAATACCCATTAAGTGCAACTAATAGACGAAACCCACACCGAAATCACTCTATTAACCACCGTAACTTTTTATAGGGGGAATATGTTCAGTGTTATTCGTGAAAAATGTCACAACCCCGGTCGGCTATATTTAACTCCGCCTTCTTCTTCTTCTCCAAGCGGCCTCTCTTCAGATGTAGACGGGCGACTGAGAGCCACAAAGCTGTCAAACGCACCGAGACCTCGCCATTTTTGTTTGTTTTCCACAAATGCAAACCGTCACAAAAACACTACGGTGAGCAATCTGGGCTTACCTGCCGTGGAACCAGTCCTTGCAAGCATCGCACTCGATCATAAACTGGGTCACGTCGTAAGGTAATCTGCAGATGCAATATACTGGTACAGTCGCCATGTTCAATTCACAACTACGTCGGGATAGACTGGGGGGGCTGCAGGAGGAACAACGTCCTGCAAACAATATGATCCAATATGATCTTCCCCAGAAAAAAAGCCAGGGGCAGACCCGCCGGACACATGAATCTAAACGCACATCTCCATCACACCACGGCCGTGTGGTGGAAACGATGGAGCCTCGTCGTCGCAGGCTTTCCTGAAATGCATTATTATTATTATTACTATGTGCATGCCCCCTGGTGACTGTACGGCACCGAGGCGGTCATATTAGCAGCCAGAAGAAAATCTAGCCTCGATGTCGTTGCGAAAAAAATAAAAAATAAATAAATGTGAAAGTTACGTCAGGCAGCAGATTTAAATCCGCGGACCTCAAATCAGATGAATGAATGTTCGATCAATCGGGATTTTTTTTTTTTCTCACAGAACATTTGAATGCAACACATACAGACAGCCATTACATAATTACTTAATAGACATTACAACATATATATATATATATATATATAGAGAGAGAGAGAGAGAGAGAGATACATATCGAATTATGTTATATTATTAAGTATAATATTATTTATTATTATGTAGTAACAGAAGTCATTCATTTTCTAGACATTTTGGTCAAACTTGGTGACAGAGTGAAATACATGCATTACATTTTATGATTATAGTTCCATTTATTACTGATAATAAACAGCTGTTGTTTACACAAGATTACAAATTTTAGAGTAAATATTTCAAAATGTGACTGTAGGCAGAAAACTAGACTACTATACTGTAGTTCAGTTACTAAATAAAATGTACAATTTAGCTGGTTGGCTTGTCATTATTTCTAATGCTGGCATGCAATGTCTGTATAGGGAGTAGGGCATTACTGTATTCGTCACTGGAATATGATTCACTATAATCACAAATGCTTTGGTCCAGTAGATCCTTTTGCATGCTTGTATTCATTTGCAGAGGCTCAACAATACTGAAGAAACAATTTCACAGATTTTCCAATTAACTGGTTAGTCAAAGAAATCTTATTAGTCTCATATTTTCTTTGGTTGACACTGTCCCAACAGTAGTAAAGCTACGTGTTAGTATGTGGATTGATTGTTTTCAGAAAGGCATAATTTTCAGAAAATCATTACATGTTTGTATTGGTGATCGGTCTCATAATGTTGTTGCAGGTCAAGTTCCCCACACCGGTCAGTCCAGAATTTTAAGTAGCTTTCACTTACGGGTATACTTTCAAGGTTTACAGGTAAACTATGAACTAAGAATCATGTTCTTTGTATTATCATACCCAAGTTTGATGCTGTACTTAATGCTGCCTCTACTTAATGTGTACGGTAAATATATTTGACAAAAATAATTACATTTGCCTATAAAAACTCTGAGAACGTTTTGTCAATTTTTTTTAAAGTGTAAAAAATTTAATTTATAAAGACTGTAGGTTTAACTAGTTAACATGCTGTATTTTGTTTTATATTTCTTCTGTCTTAACTGGTCTTCAGCTCAAAATATACTTTACATATCCAGAAGGTAAAGCCTTACAAGCAATAATGTTGCCTGTTTGCATTTAGAGCAGATTTGCTCACTCTACTGCTTTTAACAATGGATGCAGGGAATTAAAGATGCGGAAAGTCAGCCAGTGAGCAAGGAAAAGTTAAAATATTAATGTCCACATCTGTTACAGTATGATGAGAGAAAGAAAGAAACCAACAACAATTTGTACTTAAAAGAATATAGTTTTATTAAGCATTGTAGCTAAGTTGCCTTCAAATACACCACACCACAATCCATCAACATTCAATCAAACCCAACAGCAGTTCATTCTTTTACAATCCATGAGTTAGGAAGAAACTCTGATCAACTTACATAGAAGGTAACCGATTTAGCTCTTGCGGGGGCGACTGGGGGAATACACCGTTTCTCTGATCACTAATGAAAGATGAGAGGGAGAATTCAGGAGAATTAAGTCAAAATTTTAAATGATGATTCTGGCGTTGAAGTAGTATGAGTAAAAACAACACTAAAGTAAATATCAAAATGGATTACTGGCTGACGGCTAAAGTCTTAAGTGGAAGGTCGAGCACGTTGCTGCGAAAGGGGCGACAATTTTGATTAAAGCTTTTCTAATGCAGAAAACAACCAATAACAACATAGTGTGACTACACTATTTCAAAGTGGCTATATAACTTCTTGTTTTAATTAAATGCAACAGAGTTCAATATTAAAAAAACAAAAAAAACATAATCAAGGTCAGAACAAATCTGTTACTAACAGTTAACATCTTTTATAGGCTATCACTGACATTAGCCATTTCTTTAATTTCCAAATGGTCACAGTACCTGTAAAGATGGAGGAGGACAACATGCATAATAACTACACACCTCTTAAACCATGCAGGTTTTTGTTGAAGCGGTAATGCTACAGCTCTACATTTAATTCAAGAAACCAAGTTGAGTATCAGAGTTTGACGAGATCTTTTGCGTCTAAATTTTTAGAGCCATTTCTTGAAATGTTACTTACAGCTAAATGACTGAAATGACATGGAGCTCATCTGAACTAACTGGCTGCTTAAACATGAACCAAACCCAAAGTGGGGACCAAGTGTTGCATTTTGCTTTTTCTTTATACGTTTTGTTTTCATTAAGCGGTTATACAGTGACAACACAAAATTGATAACCGTATTGTGGCAAACACATGGCGCCGAGTACTAGAAGAGTATTAACCTAGAAGAACCAAAATATTAATAACCAAAATTAAAGCTTATTGAAGCTTCAATTTACTAACGAAAAGGAAAAGTATCATTCTCATAAACATGTAGAAATCTTGGTGATGAGCGAGTGAACAACTCCTTAAACCAGCAGTGTGTCATATCTCGCGTTTACTGAGAGGGATCCGAATTTCATCTCTTTTCTTTGTCTGAGAAGAAAAATGTACATTGACTATACGCTTTCCAAATTTCCAGATATCCTAACCCTGTTCCATCTTTCATCCTTCACCCTCTCTAGAAAAATAGGCTTACTCTTCTTTTTTTAAGACGGCGGCCTCCAGGCCTTCATCTCTGTGGCAGCCGCTGTCTACATTTAGTGCATTTAAGTGAGGATTAGAATTGCACGTCTTGGAGTCACTGCTAAAGGCACTTTCAGGTTGGATGAGAGCCCTGCATTCCTCTTTATCTCCGTTCAGCTGGCCTGGCTCTTTGTCCTCCACACCGTTCTCTGTGGTGGAGCCGTCACAAGGTGCAGGAGAGGATTTCCTCTCCTCTGGCTTGGGCTTCTTTCTCTCCTTAACTGCATCATGTCCAGATGTATGAGCAGGCTTATGAGCAGGCTTACCCTTGGATAAAAAGACAAAAGGGATTTTTAACTGATGCCAAAGACAGCTACACTGCAACAGTGACTGGGAGGGTTCTTCTTTAAGTCATGGAGAAAATACAAATATGGACTGAAAGTCCTGGTAACAAACAAACCACTTGAGGGACGACAACTCATCCCATGTTGATAGCTCAAACAATGGTTGTGTATTCTGCTGTTGCACTGTAATTAAACAGTGAAAAGAGCAACAGCTGTATTTTGATCTTTGTGAAGCACAACCACAGACATGACTACTGCAGTGTCTTAAAAAAGGGACACTAGAGGTTGTTTTCCAGTTTGAGGAATTTATATTTCATTTATATTACCCTTGCCCATATGTCCTTAGACTAGATCTACTAAATGTAACATTTAAGAAGTGTTCCATCATTGTAAGCTGAGCGACACTATACTTCCCACCAGGGCAGCAGGTCTGTAGTACACCCTAATGTATTTGGTGACCCGTAATCATTCCTCTAGCACCACCATCAGGACAGAATTCTCTCAAAATCTAGTGGGCAGCCTACCATTGAAATTACTGACCACATCCATGCTTACCAGAAGATGGAGCCATTTCTTTGGGACATTTCCATAAGCTTTTCACAAGTAAAAAACATTGCAGCATTTGCAACGCTTGCGACATTCTCATAGTGATTCCCTTCCTACTTTCTCTCATCAGTTTCATCATTAGTTCGATCATTATGCCTGCTTATTTCCTAATTTCTAATAGTGCACAATCCTAGAACTACTTCATCGAACACTTCATCCACACAGTTGTGTGTAGTGCTGGTGTGGTGTGCATGTATTGGTCATTGTGACTGCATTGTGAAGGACATGTCTGCCATGTGAACAGTGATTCATCACTAACGTACCAGGTATGCTCCCTGACTCTTGAAGGTCCGAGTGTGGTACCTGCCTCCTCGACCAAACGTCCTGAAGACGGGCGTGGAAATCACACCTCTGGGACGACTACAGAAGACAGAAACAAGTCCACATGCTTTACTAATAAATAATAACAGATAGGTAATAAAGTGCATAGGAAATCTCATCTTCTTTCTGAACTTACCCTCTATTTGGTCCACCAACAGACACCACCTGGACAGGGAAGCCTCCTCTTCCTCGGCTGCGTCTGGCTCCATCCCACTGACCCACCACAGTGCCAGCTATCTCCAGCTTCCCACCCTGCGACGAGATTCCTTGAAAAACAAATGGTGTTAATCCGTGGAAGTGCAATACAAAACCTTTCGCAATCATTTTGGTTTGGTTTGGGGGGGGGGGGGGGGGGGGGGGGGGGGGGGGTGACAAGCTTAAAATTCCAAAGATGGCAAATGTATGAAATGACTTACTAATGACTTACTAAGACCAAATACAAAACTGAATGGGCTGTACTCACCAGGCATCCCTCTGCCTCTCCCCTGAGGAGGCATCATTGGGGGTGGGGGGTAGAAGGAGCCAGTGGGGGGGTAGAAAGGCATCCTGTGAGGAGGTGGAAGTGGCGGAGGTGGGAATGGAGGAGGATGAGGCGGCCGAGTAAAGTTGAGACCTTCCAGGATGCTCTGACGCATCTTCTCCACCTTGGCAACCAGCTCAGCCTGAAGAGAGACAAACCAATCAAGACCTCTGTAAACAAACAGATCATTCGTTTCATTAACACGTTCTAACCGTTTCTACAATCGTTCTACATCTTTAACCCAGATAAGATGTCAGGTGACAGACACAATCTTCTCTCGCTGTCTGAAAGAGGTTGTGCCTCTTGCTTGTAAAAATAATTACAACCAAAAACCATTTATCACGTACTATTTGTAAAAATGTGTAAGGAATAGGGGGCACCATATCACATATCAGGTCATAACTGCTGCTAACTGCCGTTAGCTAGACTAACTTAGCGGTCCTATTTGCTGACTGAGTCAGGAATGGCCACCAGAAGTAGATATCTGCAACATGATAGAAGTCTTAGACACAAGGTCAGAACTGTTACTCTTTCACATTCTGTCAATAATTTTAGTGAATTTTTAAAAATGTTTTCAGCTAACATTCTGGCCATCTCTTACAAATTGTACCTTTAGGCAATTTTTGTCTTTTCTGAAACAGTTACACAATCGGCCGTGGTTTTGTTTTACTGTGAGCAGCACTGATTGAAATTTATTTTAATACTGATTTAAATATTTCCAGTTAAGTCAGTGCAGTTATCAAATCAGAAGTCTATTGTCAGTGAAGTGTTATTTACACAACTAATTTGTAGCCTAATGTGAGAAATTATGTGTGTTGTCTTGTTATCAATGCCTAAAAATGTCACAATTGCTGTAAATTTATCTTTAGCTCTTAGGTCAGAAACTGGTTTCATGCCCGTTTGGCTCGGTTCTGTTCGACCACAGTCAGTTATGTGAACTCCACTTTAGTGTGGCCGTGTGTTCTCAACTTTGAGAAATGTATAGCAGGCTCTGTGAACCGACAGGACAGACTTTTGACCTGTATTTAATTTAGCCAGCAACAGTAACCAGAAGCTAATAGACAAAACTGGAAAAAGGAACAAATGAGAAAAGGGGGGGACCGCATGAAGTCAATAAGACGCAATGGACACAAATCTTGATCAGGAGGCAGCGGGTCTCACGGCAGGCTTTTTGTGCCACCTTTGAGAGGTTTTCTATTCATCCAGCTGTAACCCCTTTAGTCAGAGCATGTTTTGCTGACTAGTGGGTGGTGTGAATGAAGCTACCTGACCATCACAGAGGTCAATGAGCTGGGCCTTCTCCCTGTTGACTCTGATGAGTTTACTCTGAAGCAGCTTGCCATCAAAGTACATCCAGGGACAGCAGTGCTCCCAGGGAATAGGCTGTCCACATGCGTCATTGGCAAATAGAGCCATGTCCACTCCGCTCATGAACAGAGCGGCCAGCTGGACTCCTCGAGGGTCCAGGTTGTTGATCTGTAGAAGAGGAACAGACTTATGAAATGTCTAAATGAAAGGGGAAAAAAGACAATATGCTCCTCTAACAGCCCCACTGAGTATTCAGATGAATGGTGCAAAGCAAAGCACAGAGCAAGCATAAGCAGCCCATTCCCTCATGGCTGCCAAAATACAGTGGTACACAACCTAATCCAGCCAACACAAAACACCAGCAGACACAACCTAGATGTTCTGGCACAGCAGAGAGCAGACAGGGCTACACACAGACAGACCACAGGGATGAAGGCACACAGCTCGTGTGGATGGTTTACATAAACAAAGGCCAAATGAGTACAACTCGGTCCGAAACACAAAGTTGATAAACCATCCACACATGACACAAGAACCCCTCCGAGTCACTCAAAGCTATACAGAAATAAATCTTTTAGTGCAAAGCTACGGCTTCAGGAACATGCTCCTACAAAACTGTGTTTTGTAGGAGCATGTTGCTTTGTCTGCTGTAGAGCTGCAACAATTAATCGATTAGTTGCCAACTATTTCAATTATCGATAAATCAAAGTAATTTTTTTTATTCCAGCTTCTTAAATGTGAATATGTGCTGGTTTCTCTCCTCTATGACAGCAAACTGAATACCTTTGGGTAAAACATTTAAGAACGTCATCTTGGACTATGGGGAAACACTTACGGACATTTTCTGACGTTTTACAGACCAAACAACTAATCGATTAATCGAGAAAGTAATCAACAGATTAATCGACAATGAAAGTTATTGTTCTGGAGAATATAAGGAGTGTCAAGAGAAACAAGAAAACATGAAATCTGACACGGGCCTGCCAATTCTCTCAATCGAAGTAACATTTAGGGAAGTTAAATACATACAGACCAAGTAAACAATTGACAAGATGGCAGATCATGGCCTGTGTGTGTTTCTTGGACACTCCTCATATAATAAACACTACACAATCACCTTCAGTTCCTGCAGCTGGTCAGGCTCATAAAGTTTAGGAGAAAGTGCTTGGGCTAGGAAAGCGTCAAGTTCGTTACGACGCAAAATTCTTACTCCTGGCCAATGTAACATAAACCTGAAGCAAAAGACAGAAGGTTAACAGTATTACAAACACCAGGAACTGATGAGCTCTGTCTTAATAAAGCCTCACTCCCTTTCAATCCACTTCAAACTGGGCTCACTCCTCTCCTAGACAGGGAGGTCTACCTGCAGTCATGGCCAAAAATATCAGGCGCCCCTGCGTGTCTGTCACATAATGCACTAGTGTCACAGAAAATTGTTGCATTTACAAATGCAGGTATTCTCATGTTTATTTCTTTTGCACTGGAACACCACAAAAGAAAACATGAGGGGGAAAAAACATTTCACAAAATGGAGTGGACAAAATTACTGGCACTTAATATCCATTTTACACCTCTGTACTGGAATTTTCTTTTGCCAACTGCTCCAGGTCTGAGATTTGACGAGTACCTTCTCCCAACTGCTGGGAGATCTCTCCACAGGTGCTCTATGGGATTTCCATTCTCCAGTTCTTTGTCTTAAACCCATTTAAATTGCTTTTTGAAGTATGCTTTGGGTCATAGGGCCAAGTGTCGGAAAGCTGGGTCCTGCTATTGCTCCGCGGAATTCTTTAGTAGTCTTAAGATTTCATGTTATGCATTTGGTCAAGACATCCGGTGCCTGAAGCAACAAAGCAACCACAAGCATCAGTGAACCTTCACCATGTTTGACGTTAGGAACCGTGTCCTTTTCTTTAAAGGCCTCATTTTGTTTCTGAAAACAGAAGAATGATGCTTTACCAAAGAGCTTGATTTTATTCTCATCTGTCCACGGGACGTTCTCCCAGAAGGATTTTGGTTTCCCTAGGTAAGTTTAGGCAAACCCAAATCTGTTTTTTTATGTTTCTGTCAGCTGCGGGGTCCTCCTGGATCTCCAACCATAGCGTCCCTTATTATTTAGAATGTGACAGATAATGCGAGCTGACACTTTTGTATCCTGTGCCAGCAGGTCAGCCTGAATTTCTTTGGAAGTTGATTGTGGTTCTTTATCCACTATTCCAACAATCCTTCATTGCAATCGTTCCATCAATTTTTCATTTTCGTCTACATCCAGGGAGATTAGCTACAGTTCCATGGGCTGTAAGTCTCCACATGTTGCACGGAGGACACAGGAACATTAAGATGGTCTTGTAGCCTTGAGATTGTCCATGCTTTTCCAAAATGTTGGTTCTCAAATCCTCAGACAATTCTTTTCTCTTCTATCTTTTGTCCATGCTCAGTGTGGTACACAGAACAAATGTTGAGGCAACCTTTCTCCATTTTAACTGGTTGTAAGTGTGAGTTCTATATTGCAGGCACCTGTGAATTGCTACAGGTGAGTTCAATTACAAATTAAAAGAGCATCTCCTGCTTGAAATACAATTATTTCTGAAGAATTTGAAAAGGTGCCGAATCCGTTTTTAGAGTGCTGTGTGGAATGTCTCAGATTTGTTTTGTGTTTTCTCTGCTTTTTTTGTGTTGTTCCAATGCAAACAAAATAAATGAACATGAGTAGTGATATGTTGGTTTTTTTTCCCACCGATCCAATAGCCAATCATTTCTTCACATTTTTGTAAGAGATAACATTTCAATGGGCAGCACGGTGGTGCGGTGGTTAGAACTGTTGCCTCACAGCGAGAAGGTCGTGGGTTCAAACCCCGGTTGCCCCGACCTTTCTGTGTGGAGTTTGCATGTTCTGTGTGGGTTCTCTCCGGGTGCTCCGGTTTCCGTCCAAAAACATGCAGGCTAGGTTGATTGGTTACCCTAAAATTGTCTTTAGGTGTGAGTTCATCTATGTGTGGCCCTGCGATGGACTGTACGCAGGATAAGCGGTTGACGATGGATAAAGTTTCAATGCTTTGATGCTGCTGCTGTGGCTGTAGCTCTAGTCAGCTGTTCACACGCAGCAAGAATAGTCAATTGGCCCACTGGTTTGCACTTACAGAGACGCAAGTAACTCAGTCTTCTCAAGAAGAAAAGTAAGTAAGTAAAGTAAAATCAATAAAGGTCTGAGCTTATAGATACTGCTATCGAGTGTAGCATGACCTACACTCACCTAAAGGATTATTAGGAACCATACTAATACTGTGTTTGACCCCCTTTCGCCTTCAGAACTGCCTTAATTCTACGTGGCTTTGATTCAACAAGGTGCTGAAAGCATTCTTTAGAAATGTTGGCCCATATTGATGGATAGCATCTTGCAGTTGATTGAGATTTGTGGGATGCACATCCAGGGCACGAAGCTCCCGTTCCACCACCTCCCAAAGATGCTCTATTGGGTTGAGATCTGGTGACTGTGGGGGCCATTTTAGTACAGTGAACTCATTGTCATGTTCAAGAAACCAATTTGAAATGATTGGAGCTTTGTGACATGGTGCATTATCCTGCTGGAAGTAGCCATCAGAGGATGGGTACATGGTGGCCATAAAGGGATGGACATGGTCAGAAACAATGCTCAGGTAGGCCGTGGCATTTAAACCATGCCCAATTGGCACTAAGGGGGCCTAAAGTGTGCCAAGAAAACATCCCCCACACCATTACACCACCACCAGCAGCCTGCACAGTGGTAACAAGGCATGATGGATCCATGTTCTCATTCTGTTTAGGCCAAATTCTGACTCTACCATCTGAATGTCTCAACAGAAATCGAGACTCATCAGACCAGGCAACATTTTTCCAGTCTTCAACTGTGCAATTTTGGTGAGCTCTTGCAAATTGTAGCCTCTTTTTCCTATTTGTAGTGGAGATGAGTGGTACCCGGTGGGGTCTTCTGCTGTTGTAGCCCATCCGCCTCAAGGTTGTGCGTGTTGTGGCTTCACAAATGCTTTGCTGCATACCTCGGTTGTAACGAGTGGTTATTTCAGTCAAAGTTGCTCTTCTATCAGCTTGAATCGGTCGGCCCATTCTCCTCTGACCTCTAGCATCAACAAGGCATTTTCGCCCACAGGACTGCCGCATACTGGATGTTTTTCCCTTTTCACACCATTCTTTGTAAACCACCAACAACCATGCCACGCTCAAAATTGCTTAAATCACCTTTCTTTCCCATTCTGACATTCAGTTTGGAGTTCAGGAGATTGCCTTGACCAGGACCACACCCCTAAATGCATTGAAGCAACTGCCATGTGATTGGTTGATTAGATAATTGCATTAATGAGAAATTGAACAGGTGTTCCTAATAATCCTTTAGGTGAGTGTATAACGTAACGTTATGTCTCGAGAGACAAGTCATGCAATTTAAATCAAAGTGGCTTTAACTTGTAACCTACACGCAGTGTTAAAGCGGGCCCAGCGCTGAAGACCAGTTTGTTTGGCTCTAGCTGCCTGCACTGTCTGCAAGGCTCTATTCAGGCGCACCATCATGAGGATCAGAGCGACAACAACAGCAGCGGCGCATGTTAAAGCATTTTTTGATTCTTATTGGCCAAAATTTCATTTTCAGATATGATTCTGATAATGAAAATATTATCGGATCAATAATTATTGTGCATCCCTAAACATGAGAATACCGAAGCATTTGTAATTGCGACAATTTGCTGGGAGAGGTAGCGCTTTATGTGACAGACATACAGGAGTGACCCTATTTGTGGCCATGACTGTACTTTGTGTGTGAGGCTACAGTCTGCTACTCACCGTAGCACACAACAGAGCACCAAGAGGGGAGTGGGGACGTTGGCAGGGTTCAGCATAGCTGGAGTGTCGGAGCGCATGCAGGCCAGGAATGCTCTCATCCTGCGGTTCTTGTCCTCCACAGCCTTCCCCAACCACAGCTTCTTCAGGTTGGGACAGGTCCACTCCCTAAAGGGCAGAGCCTCCACCAGCTCTGGAGTGTGGGGAGACTTGCCTTTGTAGGCGGCCCACTCTTTGACCATGACATGTGTATCTGGGGAACAACATTTAAAGAGATCAGGGTTTGTCCCAGGACCTCTCCTAAAACAGTACTAAAAGTAATCAAGGACTAAAAGCACTTCTACACCAGAGTAGAACGTCCTACAAGGGCTGCCACCTAAAAATCATTGAAAAGGCTGTTTTTCAACAGCTTAGTGCTTTCTTGGCACTAAATAACTGTTTTGATGTCTTCCAGTCAGGTTTTGATCACACCACAGCACTGAGACGGCTCTTGTTAAGGTCTTCAATGACATCCATTTAAACACTGAAAGTGGCAGAATTGTCGTAGTATTATTGGATCTCAGTGCTTTCGACCACAACATATTACTAGACAGACTTGAAAACTGGGTTGGACTTTCTCACAGTACTACACTGGTTTGAATTCTACTTAAAAGGACAGGGACTACTTTGTGTCTATAGGTAATTACACATCTGAGCTAACAAAAATGACCTGTGGAGTCCCCCAAGGCTCCATTCTGGGGCCTCTTCTGTTTAACATCTACATGCTTCCACTGGCTCTGATTATGAAAAACAACAAAATATGTTACCATAATTATGCAAATGACACACAGATTTACATAACCATTTCACCCGGGGGCTATGATCCCATACGGGCGCTGAGTGGCTGTATTAAGCAGCTCAACGATTGGATGTGCCAGAATTTTCTTCAATTAAACAAAGATGAAACTGAAGTTATTGTGTTTGGAGCCAAGGAAGAACGATTGAAAGTCAGTGCTCAGCTTGAATTGGTAAGGTTAGGAACCACAAACCAAGCAAGAAATCTTGGTGTAGTCATGGACTCAGACCTGATTTAAGCAGCCAAATTAAGACAATTACAAAGTCAGCCTGCTATCACCTGAAGAATATATCAAGGATTAAAGGACTTATGTCTCAGCAGGACCTGGAAAAATTTATCCAAGCATTTACCTTCAGTCGTCTTGATTAGATATCTTGATTCAGAACACTGCTGCTCGAGCCGCTGCTCACTTACCGGCGAACTGCTACTAACTATTTTGCACAGTTAGTGGTCCTGTTAGTCAAATCTAACCTCAAGGCTCAGAGTACCGGGGAAGTATTGGTGTCGTTTACACCACTAGCAGAGGAACTTTGGATTGCTGGGAGTTAGGGGTGTCCCCAACTAAGGATTTACATACAGTCAAAAAAGAACTGTCAAGGATTGCAGTGGGGGGTGTTACACATTGTAGCTCCGCTTTAATCTTGAAAAGCATGAGAGCATCTATTCACAGCTAAACTGAGGCTTACTGTTGACACTTTTCAGCCCTGCTCGCCTGCCATTCACCGGTCTTGTGCAGAGTTGTACCTGCCGACTCGCCGAGAATTGCATGCATGTTGAGGTTCCTCATAGGTCTATTCCAAGTACTGTATAAAAACTATATAATATTCTGTGTGGTTAACCAATGGTGATAAATGATTCGAATGTCCCTCGAGGTTCTATGTGTCGATGTTGATATTTATATCATAATAGGCTGTATATCAACTTATTGGGAGAAAACCGGTAGTTTTCTGAAAAATCTGATGTTGAGCACCCTCATATAGCAAAAATGGTATGATGATTTCATAATGCCACTGCGAAGATTGGTGAGATAAGGAGTCGAATCAGGGTCCTCCTATCTAAGCATCGAATCTTCAAGTATTCATTATCACCCCTACTGGAAGGAAGAGGTTTTCAGGGCCAGGGTGGGGGACCCAGCAGGAAACGCTGCTGGGGAGGGAGGTGGGAATGAGCACCAGAACCAGAGCTGGTTCAGCGTGCAATGGAACCCGACTCAGTAACCTCCCAGTGAACACGACTGTACCAGGACTGAACACAGCTGGACAACAACGGGTTCAGTATTAGTTCTTGTGCTTTCAACAACAAGACTTGTGAGATGTTAAACTGTGTTGAAATGAAGGAACAAAGTATTTAGTCTCCTAGCTGGTTGTACAAACACATTCAGAAACATTACCGCTTGTCGTTAACTGGTGGCTCGCTGTGTTCCTCTTGTAAAATGTATGTTTTAAAAGGTCTTTATTTTCAGGTTCAAACTTGTAATTAGGGTTTCTACTATGCTTTAATGTTCAAAAATATGTATTTTTCTCATACTGTCCAGTGCTTCAGCACCTCTCTTCACCCTGCCTGAACACAACATTTTAGCTCCTGTCTCTTTAAGGCCCCTCTCCCTGAAAGCAAACTTGCATCTAATTTGTCAAATTTGTCAACAGCAGAGGGGCGGGGCCTAGCTGCACAGAGCTGAGTCAATGTGGAGATAAGGCCTGCTATGAGAGACTAGGCCTCACTGATTACTGTACAAAAACAAAGTTTCTGGCTTTCGCTCTGGTGTCCTCTGGCTCCTCTGCCTCAACTTCTGGTGATTTACGGATTTGTATGTTACCGGTTAAGGCTCATGCAGATTACACGTCTTTCAATGTCGGCTGATTGCTGTGCTATTCAGACTACACACCTTGCAGTCTTGTGGCGTCACACACTATACGAGACAACGGCTGTGTCACCCGACGCTGGTCTCCAAACCACGTTTTGTCAAGAAAACAAACATGCAACAGGAAATTAGGCGACACTACACACGAAATAGCTGTAGCAGGGATCTTCTGAGCTACAGAGAGAGCTGGAGGTGAGTAAAAAGTGTTTTATAGTGAAAAAGTAGCTGCCTGCTCCATCTGTTGCCTGCTCTCATTGGCTGGATGTGGATGTCGAGTTGGCCAACTTCTCCAGACATTTAGCATGCTAGATATTAGAGCCCGCCCGATTTATCGTTTTGCAGATATTATCGGCCGATATAAGCTACTTGCAGATAAATCGGCATTGGCGTTTATAACAGCCGATTTATGACTATTAAAAATGAAAAAATTGGATCCTTCCCTCATGTGATTAGTGTTGCATAGTTTTCCCACCAGGGGGCGCTCTGCAGCTCCTCTGTTCCAAACACTGCAGCACCACAGAACAAAACATGACCTGACTGTAGTCTACCGGAGCATGTAGTAACAGCTAGGAAGAGTAGCTCCTGGTAGCTCTCACACTCAGTGTTCACGGTGAGTTGGTCATTCATCACGTTAATTACATGACTTAAATAATAAAAATAGCCCCCATCACTTCTTTTCTGAAAACATTTATGACCAGAGTTACTAACCCTCCCACTTCTCACTGCCCTAACCGGTTTCCTCCCACGTCACAGCAGTGCATTTAATGTTACAGTAGGTGAGTGGTGGAGGCTACGCTGTTGACAGACATGACTATAGATTTGTCTCTGAAACAGTTATAGTGAACGGTCATCTCATTTCTCCCTAGTCTAGTTCTAGTATTAGATTAATACTTAGATTAGACTTAACTAGCTTTGGATAGAATTAACAGACTGCTGGTAAGGGGAGAACCTAGATGTGAATATGCTACATAGTTAAGAAAATAGAAATTGTGGCAGATTATATGTAAGGTAATAACTATTGCATGACAAAATATATATCATTTTTGCCTAAGTAGGAGAGCCCTGTTTATCATTGTTATTATTGCAATGACGTGAGATATGATATATGGTATTATTATTATTAGTATAGTAGTAGTAGTAGTAGTATTTTTTATAGTTTTGTTTCGTTGGCCCCCACAACACATATACTATTTACTTTAATGTTCATTAGTAGTAGTACTAATTTATAACAAAGCAGACATTTTTTAATGTTTTTTGTAGTTTTATACATTTGACTCTTTATCAAAACTTTAATATATTTTGCTGTAATTTTGTTCAAATTACTATTTATAACATTAAAGTTTAACGTTTCTTTTTAAACTGCATTATGTCATGGTATCTTGAAATGGTCTTAACATAGACACATGTGCGTTTCTTAAAATAAGGAAGAAAAAAAACAAACAAAGAATATTGGCCGATCGGTATCGGACTTAAAAATCCCGTATCTGTCGGGCTCAACTAGATATCTGGCTGCCGTCAGTGAGCCGTTTTGATGAGTCATGGAGTAGTTCACACATAAGTACTGGCGAGCGCCGATCAATAACTGATATGCCCCCGATCACAGCCCGATGGTCGGCAAGCTCGGCAACTTGCAAATGAGGCTTTTAAAAGTATTGTGTGAACTAGGCTTAACTTTAGCTGCTAACAGCACTAGCTGCTAGCTACTCAGTTAGCCGTGCAGCTAGCCATCCCATTGCTGATTCTGCCCAGCTCTACTTTTTAATTTTACTTTCAGCAGGAGAAGGATTAATCATAGGAAGGATGGTAACGCCGCTGTCTTGCAACACTTAGCTGCAATGTTAAAATTACGATGATGTGTTGTACTGTGACTAGGGCTGGGGTGATTTGTCGACGTAATCGATTACGTAAATACGCCGACTTGCATTACATGCATCGAAGCGTCGCTGCATCCGGTGTTAGTGGGATTCCCCCAGACAAGGTCCAACTACAAGACCACGCCTTTGACCGTCTAAATTTTGGGAGTATTTTAGACAGCTCAACGACATGCTGCTCCATGAGCTCTGAATTGGAAATAGCTTCACTGCAGCACAACTGCTGTCCACAAATACGTGAAGCAGCATGAAAACGTGAAGCGAAAGTATCCCGGAGCACTGACGGCAGCACCGCAAATCCTGTCTCCACACAAGCTCTGCACATTATCAGCACGAGGACACGTAGTCCGTTAAAATGTATTTTTAAAGTATTTCTTCTAGTAATTTCTGCCCTGCTGCTGTCATGGTAACGTAACGTTACACCATGTGTCATCTAACGTTCGGCTGTTTCAAATTTTAGGTTTATTCAACAGTCACGTATGAGCGAGAAAACAGCTGAAACTAACAGACATTCTGCACAGTCTGAATCATTCCAGTTCACACACAGATGCAGATATACATTTTAATAATAAAACTGCATTACTCAATATTGAAATAAATGTAAGAAACATTTAAAGTTTTAAGTAAAGTAGCCTAATTAATATCTGTTATTATTATCACCACATGGAAATTGGATTAATTTTAAGATACTACTATTGTCATAATTCTAATGTGCTTCATCGGGATGACTGAATAAAATATTGATTTATTGATTAGACATGTTTTTGATATTTATTTTGGATAAATTGGTATGTTAAATTGAGTAATAGGCAACTTTTTTTTCTTTAGAATACACAAAATTTGTCAGATTAATCGACAAATCAAAAAAATAATCGTTGGATTAATCGACTTGAAAAATAATTCTAACCGACAGTGGTGGGTTGGAGTATCGTACAAATACAAAAATTTTGAGCTTAAAAATAAGGTGATTAATCAATTAGTTGATTAAAACTAAAACGACAAATCTTTGGGTTATGGAATGTGGTCAGATAAAACAAGATGTGAAGACCTTGTTTTGGTTTCTGGGAATTGATAACTCAGTTGCAGCCCAACAGAAAATATATAGATTTTTTTTTAAATACTGAAGAATTCTGAATATTATGAATATGAATATAACGCTTTTAATACACTTTTCCCACAGTATTGATACTGAAAATTGCGCTTCTCTTCTCCCTGATAGCTAGTTGACACACACACACACACACACACACCGCTGCAGTGCCCACATAGCCCCGCCTCCTGTCACTCACAGTGCCGTCTTCTCCTCACTTGTCTCCTTCGCTTCAGTTGATTCAGTTTTTTTTTATTATTATGGTTATGTTTTTTTCCTGCCAGAGTTTCAACAACTCCCGCCCTACTGTGTTCTGATTGGCTAGTACTCGTCACTTGACTGTGTGACATATCCTAGTCAACCCTAACTAATCACGTCGTTTTACAATGTTCATATTGGCGCAGCATCTGACATGTATTTTAACTCATGTCCCCTTAAAGGTGGAGAAAACGTATTTCTATAATGTCACCTGGCATGCTAACTTGCTTTCAAGTCTTTGTCATGCACACTTTTTAAAAGCTGATTGGAAACTTGATTACCAGTATACCATGTCATCTCCTGCGAGCACTCAAAATTATCATTAGAGATGATTGATTTCCTAAATTAAGAAATTGATGAAACACACGTAGTCCAGTGGTACATACACTAGGAACAAAAATCACAGACTTTTTGGCATGGTGGACTAATTTCCTACTCTGAGACACTTGATAAAAGCAGGCATAGAAACCTCAGTTCTGGACTTGATACAGTGACATGAAGGAGCTTTGTAACCACAGAACTCACATTCAAGGAGGCAGTTCTTCCTCGTGGTGAATCTCTCAGCCTTCTTCCTGGCATCGGCCAGGCTGAAGAGCACTCCGTAAACATACTGACGGATAGGCCGAAACAGCTGCACTGCTGAGGGCAGGTCTTTGTTAGCTTCATCTTCAATGGTGACCGATAGCTTAATCTCTCCCTGCAAAGACAGTTACCTTAATGCTGCACAATGCCACAAACAACTCACTGTCGACACTTCAGATTCCAGTCTGTGTAGCCGGAGCTTCACTTTTAAAAAGAGACATGTGATGCATTACTTCTTTAGTTTTGCATGAACACAATTTTTAAAAAAAACTGCCATTACAAAATAAAATCTACGAGCAGCTTATTAGAATCAGTCTAGATGAGTCCGCCCTGACCTTGGTGAGAGTATGGTAGATGTAGGGATACATAAGGCCCTTCTTGTGTCTGTGCTCAGCCACCCGTAGGACCTCAGGGGCCACAGCAGGGAGAGGTGGGATGGTGATGTCCATGTGGTTCCTGGTGGGCATGGAGAGCAGGGAGGGGATCTGGGCATTCAAGCTGTGGAGACATATGGCCTGTGACCCCGGGCTCGCAGTAGGGGTAACACAGAGGTCAGCCTGAAGACAGACGGGACACATCAGGTTTTAGTTTAGTTACCTGGTGAGATCTCTGACCAGGTCTAATGTGTTCCTGGTGTTGCACTCACTTTAGTTTGGTCCCCCAGGTCTCCCTCTGGTGTGTTTTCAGAATGTGGAGTATGTCCGTTTTTCTCCCATCCTCCCTTATGGTCACTAACATGACTAAAAAAGACAGCATACATATCATTTAGTTTAGCAAACTCAAGATAAACCATTGATCACCTTTTTCTAGTAGTAGGGGTCAACAACATGCAAAATAAAATAAAAAAATCATATTGTGATTATTTTGACAGATACTCCAATATTAGTCATTATTTTAGTGGGACTTTTTGCTGGAGTCCCTTTGAAAAAAGCACGTTCCCCTATGTCTGGAGAAAACGATTTGTCTTTTATGCTGGGGCATCTTTGCAAAACCACAACATTGTGACACATTTTACCTTGCAAAATTGCAGCTTCTGTGATTTGGAGATTTCACTTCGCCATGGGATTTCGATAATATTTTGATGAATTGTTCAGCCCTACCTGGCAGTGTCCCATAAATAAGATAAACAGCTGCTACTATAGCGAACATCAAAACAACGGCATGTCTTTGAATTAGAAAGTAAGCTGAATGTCCGTGGTCAAGTCATTTCATTTAACTGACACACACATCATGGCTGGAACAGCTGGAATAGAGTTGCGTGCGGGACTGGAGTTTTTCCTCAGTGCACACACAGAACAGACAGCTCACAGAGCGTGAGGATAATCACTGAATTTAACAAAAAGATGTGTACTGGATTAGAATTTGTTACCCCACCTTAATGCAGCATTTAGATGTACAGCCACACAGAAATCATCCAAGTATTGATATTGTCTTAAATTGACACCCATTGCCCTGAAATAAATTCATCCACAGGTAGAAAATGTATAATAATGTCATGTAACAAAATGAACAGAAGAATAGCCCAGCACCACGCTGAGATACTGTTGCACCTGTGGATGCAGCGTCACACTTGAAAGAAGAGTCACAGCACTATTACTAAGATCTGAGTAGGTAAACTGCAACAGCAACATGCTGCACAAAATAAGTGAGCATTTATGGAGTGAAGTGCAGACTGACAAGAACATAAAGATTTCCACTGTTCTCAAGTGTAGCAAACACATTTTATAGATACCCGTGTTTCTGCCAAGACAAATCTTTACAGCTGTCAGGATGTGTTTAATTCAACTCTTCATGACCTTAGGTTCTCCCATTAGCTCACCAGCAAAGCTTGATTTCTGCACAAGTACTGACTTAAACCCAGTGACATCAGATCCTGTGAGCGGCTAAATGTCAAAAGAACTGTGATCCTAACCATTAGTACAGTGGTGCACGGTGCTCTCTCTCCTGTTAGAGACTTGATTCTAAATGAAGGACTGAGGGAACAAACAAAGGAAACTGTGAATGCTATCTGCAGATCTGTGTTTACAGATACACCTACTAAAATCAAGCTTCGTTGGGTATCTGGAAACACAAACCACATAGTGAATCAGAGCAGTTTTGCCATCAGAGATTAGATCCAACAGAGCAGTACAGTTACTGTGTGTTAAAAAAACTATTTTGCCAAACATAAGCTACAACAAATACAGCAAAGAAACAAAGTTTCTGGGAACAAACAGGAAATGGCAAGAAAAAAAGATTTTATGAAAGAAATAATTAACACTGTACAGCCATCTCCCAATACAGTCTTAACTGTATTTGAACTTGTTCCAGTAAAAGCAGGGATAATACAATATGTTGTCCGTGTTAAGGATGATGATTACAAATACTGTCTGTATTCAAAACTGCCTACTTTGCTTGTATGTACTGATTTGGCCTAAATGTAGTATGCACACAAAAGCAAAATCAGCAGTATGCCAAAAATAGCGGTCATACTGATTCAGATCTGCAGTATGCATTGGACCAGTCCACCTTGCGTACTGTGTCCTATAACGCAAAGCGCTACAAGATCACAATCAGGCAGTCTCAACAAGAGGCCATTGTTGAATTGGCAACAAAAAATAAAACTCAATGTTAGATCTAAGTCGTAAGTAACGTTGCCATCTTCATTATATCAAACGTTAGCTTAGCAGGCTTAGCTTAAACGTTACGCCTTTGTTATTGGTAGTAGGACAAATGCAGCTAGCTTTAATGTTACATTTGTTACAGATGTTCTCCTTACACAAGATTTAATTAGAAAGAAAGGTTAGAAGTGGTACTTACATTTATTTTCCTCCTATTGTTTACTTTCACTTTCCAAAACAGGAGACTGGCTAAGCTTTGCAAAATACATAGATTTTTCACACTGCAATACTACTATGAAAAGCAGTATGCAGTACTGCGGTTGCCGGTACTTTGTAATAGGCGGTTCCCAGTACAGTTGCTGTAATAAATGCAGGTTATATGGCTTAAAAGATTGGTCTCCACCGTTTGCAAAATTGCCCTGTACTTCACCTAAAACTTTTTATGCCAGCGTTCCTGGAAAAGACCAGATACGACTACCTGACCAACAGAAGAGGCCAGCTGGGGACCATGAACGTGACACACTGTAACAGCTAAGGAGTGTTTCCATGAATGGACACAGTAACAGGAGTATAACTGTTAAACTCACTTGGCAGTTGTGCCCGAGCTCTCTTCATTCTCCGAGGAGGAGGAGGAGGATGTGGAGGAAGCGTTAAAGAAAGCAGCCTCTGTGTTGATGGGGCTGCCGGCCTGGCCAAGGTTGATGGGAGAGGACCTCTCATACAGCGGTGTGTGCTTCCCTTCATGAGGAATGTTGCTGAAGCTGTTTTGCTCCGGGAGGTCTTTCTCCACCGAGTCCAGGGCCAGGCTGCACTCCACCAGAGGCTCTGGGTACGGGTGCTGGATCTGAAGACAGTGAGGAAAACCTTAAACATTTCATTCTCATGAAGCTGAACCACCTGCAGTATTTCACTGCTTAGTATTTCCCAGTCTTACCCCAGGTTTTACAGGCAGTGGCCCCTGTGGAATGTTGAGCACTTTTGGAGATGGCACTGCTGCAGGCACTCCCAAGTGTTTTGGTCTGACTGTGAAACAGATACACACATTAAAAAAAGAGTCAGCATATACAGTAGACCCACGAGAAGCTGGGCCTGCTGTACAGAGATGTAGTTACCAATGAGGACATGCTCATGGCAGTATTTGTTTCTGGGAATTCAGGATTTTTTAAATGTGGGGATTAGTTGAAATGAAATTCAGAATACTGTTATAGAAATCTGCATTAAAACACAAAACTGGCTCTCAGTAGGTATATTTCAAATTCAAATATTTGCAATGAGCTAAGGTGTACAGAGAGGGGTTCCACAGCCAAAAAGCAAAGAGCTGCCTTCATGTGCATACTTTTATACACCAAGCAGGAACATAGTTAGGGCTGTCACATAAAGGTCACACATAGTTCACTAGCAGCTTATTCCAATACATTTTATAGCATATATGACAGATACTGGATTTCAGGCTGATACCAATTTTGATATTTTAAAGTTTCAGAAATCAGATAATGCTATCAGAGAAGTAAAATTTTACCTAAAAACAATCTTTATATGAATTTTTTACAAGCCACATGCATTTTAAAATGTAAAAATTAGAGCCTGATGTATGACTGGATTTTTAAGACTGATAACAATTCTGCTATGGGGATTTCAAAATCTGCTATTCCGATAAATCGGCCGATATTCTTTTTTATTCTTTTTTCCTCCTTTTTTTCCCCAAACAGTGTAGTTTTGAGACCTCACCATGATAACATGACATACTGCAGTTTCAAAAGAAACTTTTTTTATTGTTATAAATAGAACTTTGAACAAATGTACAGCTGATCATGTCAGCTCATGTTGTTTTGTAACGTAAACATACTTTATTTGTCACATACACATAGCGAAATTCATCCTCTGCATTTAACCCATTCCTGAAGGGAGCAGCGGGCAGCCACTGTGCAGCGCCTGGGGACCAACTTCAGAGTGAAATGCCAGGTGAAGGCTCCAGGTGTTACTGACTGGAGCCTAACATGTTTTTGATGGTGGGGAAAATCGGAGCACCCGGAGAAAACCCACGCAGACACGGGAAGAACATGCAAACTCCACACAGAGAGGCCGGGACGACCGGGATTAGAACCCAGGAACCTTGTTGCTGTGAAGCCCCAGTGCTATCTACTAGGCCACCGTGCTGCCAAAAGGTATTTTTCTTTTTCCCAAACACACATGTTGCCAACAGGGGAGTTGTGGAGTGCCGTCAAACTATGCAACGACAACACTAATAACATGATGGAAGATCTGTCTCTCAGTTTCTTTTTTTATTTACTTATTTTTGTGAAGATCTCTGTTCTACCCATTAGGAGATTTAGATAGACAGATTTCATACAGAAGACATTTTTGAAATTACAATACGTTATAAGATACATCAACAATACAACAGGCAAAGTGAAGTTGGAGAAAGCAGGCAGGTCCCAGGCTGGCTTAGCGTACAGACCAGTCATCCACAGGTGTTACTAATGATGTTAACGAGGCTTCACCAGACTGCAGCCATGATTAAATTAATAACACCTGTATTTGGCAAATCAAAGGCTGCGTCCCAAAAGTCTTTTTTTGCTTAGGAAGGTTCCTAACCGAGTGAAGTGACCCGGAAGTATTTCAGTAGCAACCATGAGAAGAGCTGGTCTCTAAAAGCTAAGGAAAGGTGCCTCAATGCTTCCTTTCATATCTCCTTTTAGGGTACACTGGACTATCCTTTACAAAAGGAAAGGAGAGAATGGCGGCAACATTTAATGCGATGCACGTTCTCAAACCCAAACGATATAATCCGTTGACCACATTTAGCAAAATCCTTGCAACAAAGACGCACATAATGATGTGTAGCGTGTAGGCTCACGTTATGTATTGCCAGCCTTCAGCAATATCAATAATTAATTTTACTTCAGTCACAGATGCCACAATAAAGGCAATGATCACATTATCAACGCTGACCGCCACATTTGATTGTTTTTTTCCCCCCTAAGTTATGGGTAAAATCGTATTTGATCACAGAACTGCAGGCAGTGCATATAGGCCTACTAGGCTATTCGCTCAGCACCCCCTTCTGCCTACCCCACCCCCACATTTAGATGACCTGCATTAAAACAACATGGGGCGCAGTGTCAAAGATGTGCTTTTGGTTGTCCATCTTCAGAACATTGTAGTTTCATCACAGCAGGTCACATCAGGAACATCCGCCGTCGCATAATTATGTCGCCTAGAAAAGAGCAGTCGGATTCTCTTAGACCCGCGGTCCTCTTTTCCTAAGTCCTTATGAATTCTCCGTTCACATCTTTCCTAGACCTCGACATTTTCTATCAAGGTCAAGGAAAGGTGGTTAGGAAAGGAGGATTTTTTTCACTTTTCGGACACAGCCAAAATGTCTGCTGTAAGAAAGCTATAGACTTTCAGGCAAAGAACATTGTACATTCTCAACAAAAAGGGATGAGATAGTTCTCAATCTGTCTTTGTTTCTCATCTCAAACATTTAGCTAACATGTACATGTACCAATAAGTTTGCCAATGAAGAAAGAAACCCACCTAACTGTGGAGGGAATAGAGGGGGTGTGCTGGCCGCTGAGTAGTACTCCACTGCCTTCTTGAAGCGGATGACTTTGTCATCAGTGCACGACTAAGAGGATAACATTAAATGTGATTAATACACACAGAGCACAGTCAGAGGAAAGGGGTCCACAGAAGGAAAACATCTTTTCTACATTCAGATAAAGATCTTTTTCAAACAATGTTTGCCAATGACCCAGTATATGACGTTTCTATTACAGTGCACACCAATCGCAACTATGCAAATACAGCATGTGTGGTTGAAACCATTTTTAGGATGCTATATGCTAAAAGAGAAAACAAATACATTGATATTTTAGGTGGCTAAAATACAAATAACAGAAATGGTGACTCTGGTTGATTGATTAAATCCTTCACAGTGTCAACCAGCCACATTATAAGTTTTACCTATTTTCAGAGCAGCACATTTATGACTCAAATATGTGGCAATAGATTTTTCACTTCCACAAATCTCCAAAATGACAGAGGGAGCAAACATGCAGCTGCAAGCACAACTAAAAACTTTCTATTTACATGGTGTGATTGTTAAATATTTATTTACCCCACCCTGTGTCATGAACTCAGGCCTCCAACTAGGGTATGGATCATGACTAATGCTAATATCAAAACAAAGAAAAGTCATGTATAATTCCATTATTCCATGCAGAGTACAATATAATATACATGGTTATCTTAGACAGTAACGCATTGTTCTCCACAGTATAACTGTATGTATTTAACACTAGCTAGTAATAGTGCTAGATTAGATTGGCTGTCCTTGTGAGTGCAGGCATCGGCCAATTGCAGATTATCTCAAAAATGGCTGATTAATCAATCTGTCACTAGTCATCACTCAATCACACAAAATCACTCCATTTGATAGTTAGTGGAATTCATAGTCAACTTATCTCATTTATATGAAACTAAACAAATTTTTAAGCTAAAAAAAATCAGAAATTATGAATTATTTTGACTAATAGTTAAGATCAGAGGAATTTATGTTGATAGATTATCATGTCAAATTTTGGTCAGAATACTGTTTTGAAACCACTTCATCACTTGTTGTCTGTTTAAAAAGCATAATGTATAAATTATCACCCAATTCTGTGTTACACCTTCTTAGCCAACTTCTTTCCAACTCATAACCACTTGTTTTACACTTATTTTTGTCAAAAAATCTAATTTATATGAAAGTATGCCTGGGCATGCCATAAACTGGCCGTGGCTTCTTTACTGGATTAATACCAGCGAGCATCAACAGACCCAAGTATGCCTGCTGAGGTATTTGATCCATCTTTGCCGTACAAATAATGCCCCTGCTGTTTATCATGTCAGGCAGGAAAATAAGTATTTGAACACCCTGCTATTTTGCAAGTTGTCCCACTTAGAAAATCATGGAGGGGTCTGAAATTGTCATCGTAGGTGCATGTCCACTGTGAGAGACATAATCTAAAAAAACAAAAAAAAAACAGAAATCACAATGTATGATTTTGTAACTATTTATTTGTATGATACAGCTGCAAATAAGTATTTGAACACCTGTCTATCAGCTAGAATTCTGACTCTCAAAGACCTGTTAGTCTGCCTTCAAAATGTCCACCTCCACTCCATTTATTATCCTAAATTAGATGCACCTGTTTGAGGTCGTTAACTGCATAAAGACACCTGTCCACCCCATACAATCAGTAAGAATCCAACTACTAACATGGCCAAGACCAAAGAGCTGTCCAAAGACACTAGAGACAAAATTGTCCACCTCCACAAGGCTGGAAAGGGCTACGGGGAAATTGCCAAGCAGCTTGGTGAAAAAAGGTCCACTGTTGGAGCAATCATTAGAAAATGGAAGAAGCTAAACATGACTGTCAATCTCCCTCGGACTGGGCCTCCTACACGGGAGGAGCTGGTCAATGACCTGAAAAGAACTGGGACCACCGTTTCCAAGGTTACTGTTGGTAATACACTAAGACGTCATGGTTTGAAATCACGCATGGCACGGAAGGTTCCCCTGCTTAAACCAGCACATGTCCAGGCCCGTCTTCAGTTTGCCAATGACCATTTGGATGATCCAGAGGAGTCATGGGAGAAAGTCATGTGGTCAGATGAGACCAACATAGAACTTTTTGGTCATAATTCCACTAACCGTGTTTGGAGGAAGAAGAATGATGAGTACCATCCCAAGAACACCATCCCTACTGTGAAGCATGGGGATGGTAGCATCATGCTTTGGGGGTGTGTTTCTGCACATGGGACAGGGCGACTGCACTGTATTAAGGAGAGGATGACCGGGGCCATGGATTGCGAGATTTTGGGGAACAACCTCCTTCCCTCAGTTAGAGCATTGAAGATGGGTCGAGGCCGGGTCTTCCAACATGACAATGACCCGAAGCACACAGCCAGGATAACCAAGGAGTGGCTCTGTAAGAAGCATATCAAGGTTCTGGCGTGGCCTAGCCAGTCTCCAGACCTAAACCCAATAGAGAATCTTTGGAGGGAGCTCAAACTCCGTGTTTCTCAGCAAACCTGGTGAAAAACTACAGGAAACGTTTGACCTCTGTAATTGCAAACAAAGGCTACTGTACCAAATATTAACATTGATTTTCTCAGGTGTTCAAATACTTATTTGCAGCTGTATCATACAAATAAATAGTTAAAAAATCATACATTGTGATTTCTGGATTTTTTTTTTTTAGATTATGTCTCTCACAGTGGACATGCACCTACGATGACGATTTCAGACCCCTCCATGATTTCTAAGTGGGAGAACTTGCAAAATAGCAGGGTGTTCAAATACTTATTTTCCTCACTGTATCCTTTCAGTTTGCTCTGGTAGAAGCAGCTCATCTGTTGAAGCATATTCCTCATCTTCTTTACAGCTGTCCTCTTATTCTGATAAATCCTTTTCTTCTGGTCTCTCTCCTCCTCAACAGGGTTCAAAATTAATTCTAGAGCTTCAGACACAGTATAGTATGGTAGAGCACGATAGGGAGGCCTCTTTATCGTGTTGTCACAGACTAAAATGGCTAAAAGGCTTCAAAAGCTCAGATTTATAAACTTTTGTTGTAGTTTTGAAAGGCATTTCAAAGGAGTGGTAGGAGCACGTTTACAGGAGTGTACTTAGCTTTGACGTTTTGTGTGTGTGCGCAGGTGTGTTCATCTGCTGGAAAGCACAATAGTGTGATCAATTGACTTTTTGCACCACCAGGTCAAAATTGGCCAGGGAAGAGCATAAGTGTTACAAATTTGAATAAAATACCCACAATTCAATGAAAGTAGTGATAATTTTTTTTTGTTGTTTAGAGCGTAGTGTGGAACCATCCATGTCATTTTGTTGCAATTACATGAAAGAAAACCATATTTTTCAGACAAAAACATTTGAAAACAGGTCAAATTTGACCCGAAGACTACATGAGGGTATCCAGGCAGCTCTACTTTTCATACCTGTGAATGCTTGAAGATGTCCTTAGCAATGGCCTCCAAGTCTGTGATGTCTGGGATGTTGCGGACATAGTCAGCCACAGCCTTGATTACAACATCGCAGGGTGGGAGCACAAGTTGGTGGGCACGCACCTGAGGAATAACACAGACTTCACAACAGACCAACCACTCAAGCTACAGGGAACAATTTCAAATAAACCTCTTTATAGAAGTGATCACAACAACATCCTGTTGCTGTTTAAAATGCTCCATTTGGCACATCTTTCTTTCACACACTCGCACGTAAGTATTCCACGTGAGTTTTACCTTCCTGACAACCTACCTATCCTAAAATTAAAATTAACCCCAAATTGATCCAGAAAAGCATATTCATTTATGTTGTAGTTTGTAAAATCTCTTTCTCTCATCTGCCGAAAGCGTGTGTGTGCTTTCTCTTCAGTAATGTGATGCATTTCTGAGAGGATTTAAATCAAATCCTAATGTGTTCACATAGAAAGCAAAAGCGAATGTTTCGCACGCCGTAATTACATAAAGAGTCAACGCAGAGACGCAAATAGAGACCCGGAGTCACGCCAGATTCTGCTCCATCAGCAGGGAAGAGTATTTTGGGGGAAATTACATTTTGAGACTAAAAATTGGATTTATTTTCACTCTTGCTTTTCAACCTGTCTGCAGCAGACTGAATTACAACTTGTAAAATGTATTTTTGATTTCACTGTTTTTAGGTATTCTGGCCACATTTTCTGCTATTAAGCCGCTTAATGTTCAGAACCCTTTCCAGATACTGCCGAGTGTCCTAATCAGTGAGTAGCCAAAGCTACACTTGGCTTGGCACGTATTGTTGGCTGAATGACCCATAAAGAGAGATTAATAGGTTAAACAGCTGCAGCACGGACTGCAGAGCACCTTGAAATATAAGTTTTTATAGCCTCAATACTTCCATTAGTTTCATCATAGTTTTAGGATTTTATCAAGTATGAACATTAATGTATAGTGCAGTTTTGGTTAACAACATTTGCAGTGTCCATGTGATCATTTTTATTTTTTTGGTGAAGATCAGATTTTTATGTCCCAGCCAGGTTGGATCCTGACTACAGCAACCGATAAAGTCAATAAAGTGAGATTTGTGTAGTGGAAATGTGCGTTTGTATGGTTCTCTTTTTAAATATTGTTATACATATATTAGTAGCTGTCCCACCAGTAAAATGTCACAATCCTTTGGTTATTTAGTTTTTAAAATTCCCTTTTAAAGCTTTTATGACTGTATAAATATATATTTGGGAAAATTATGAGTTCAATTACTTACTTACTTTTTGAAAGACTTACTGGGTGCCACTGATGGAAAAAACGAAAAGACTTCAGGGACAGCAGTAGAAACCAGTAAAGACGTGTGGAGTCAGTGTGTGCACTGTGAAGTCCTGTTGGGTGTCATTTGGCAGTGGAACGTAATGTGTCAGTATGGTGGTAGTTCAGCCTCAGTCGGGCTCCACATGTGAATCAGTCTGCTTTCCATTTAATCACAGCTAGCGACTCAAACAGAGAATGGGGGTGTGGTTAATAGTTGGACGTAATACAATACCATGACAACCAAAAACTGAAGGCTGGAGTGTTCACTAACAATATGCTGTGTTAACATCACTACACTGTAAAGTTTAGTACACTTTACTGTCTGCCAGGAGTAGCTGTTACTTACCCATGATAGAAATGAATGTGCGCGGATCAGCTAACTACACCTGGCTAACTTCGAAACCAACAATCAGACACAGAGAGACATACAGACTGTAAGTAAATTACATGATAAATTGGTTAGCTAGCTCACAACGAAGTTTATCGGTTTGATGCTCCGACTTAACAAACATGACGGCGTGACAGTTTTTAACGAGGCATCACAGCGCGCCTGTTGGAGGATGACGTATGACTTATGGAATTACTATAGTCATACATCACACCCCCGTTTTAACAACTAAGCAACTTTGAGCACAAAATTAAGCTATTTGTCAAAAAATATTTGGCAAACTATGTGGGTAATCAACATTGTAAGGAAAATATGAAATATCAGAAATGTCAAAATACACTGGAGGGAGGCTTTAATAACAGCTGAACCATTTAAACACTGTGCCCTCAAACTGTCCGGCACTGCTGTCATGCAATGGTTTGACTCAACCATTCACCGATACATGAATATATCCTATTTCTGTACGTTGGCCATGCATGAATGATTTAGTCAAATCACTACGTCCAGCTTGGTGGCAGCTGGTGGCTAAGCTTACACTGTTCTCATTATTTACAACTTTGGCAAACCAGCAGTGCAAAAATTCTGTGTCCTTTTCCAGAAAGATCAGACAGTTTCAGATTTGTTGTAACAACTAGCAGATTTTTAGCCTTTTATGTCTATGCTGGTTACAAGTGGGCTGGGCTCAGTTGGGAAAAAGGCGATGTCACATAGTTCTGACACCAAAAGAGATTTAGCAACCTGAATCACAATCTGTCAATCATGTTTGCAGGCAATCGACAGTCAATCAAATGTTACAAAATCCAGATGAAGCAGATTAAGCCTAGTTCACACTACACGATTTTTAGCCGATTTGATGGTCGCCCACCGTCAGACTGTGATCAGGGGTAAATCAGCAGTTGATCTTCTTCTTTGTCTTTATCATTTTTATCTTTTTAATAACCAACACCAGCTGTTTCGTGTGTAGGTTCGTGTCATTTCCTGTTTCACATTTCACATGTGTTTTCTTGACCAAACGTGGTTTGGAGACCAGTGTCGGGTAACTCAGCCGCTGTCAGCTCGTGTAGTGTGTGACCCCGTCACCGATCATTCACGTAGTGTGAACGCAACAACGACTTCAAGACTCCCGTCACATGACGGCAAGTTGTGCAGTGTGAACGGCACGGCCATCGGCCAACGCTGAAAGTCGTGTAGTCTGCACGAGCCTTTAGCAGAGTTTTTAAGAGTTAAACTCTTAATAATAAGAATGTTTTTCCCAAACTGGAGAAAGCTTTAAAAGCTGAACATGTCACTGTAGACCGGAGATTATGGATGTGGTCCTGCAGTTAAGTCTTCATTAAAGGGGTCAAATGATGGACGAAGCAGAATCCTGATTTTTACTCTCTAAAATGAGTCAAGCTCCCAAAACCATGTATCCTGCATTTCCCAAATTGCAACTCAATGGCGTCATCAGGGATTCTTTACTCAGACTTGTCAACACTGCTCCAGAACCACCGAAGACATTATACAACCGTTCACAGGCTGAATTACTACTCCTCGTAAATAAACAGACCTTCGTGTATAAAACAGTTTTTTTTTTAAAGAGACTTTTTTCCTTTCTGTTTGAGAAAGTGTGGTGGTTTTCTGAGAAATCTGAGTCATTCAGAAGGCACACTGCAGGTGAAATGCACTCACTCACCTGTGACAAGAATATTCAGGCACAGTGTGTTCCACTGCAGCTGTCATTCAGCAACAATATTCACAGCTGCCTCTCAATTACGCTGAACTACCAGTCCTGTGATTATAAAGAAATAAGCATCCATATATTTACCTTCAAAGATGCTAATGGGTGCTCTGGACCAAGTAAGCTCCAGTGAAAGGCAGCCAAGTCTTCATCAGGCAGTATGTGATTTCCTATAAAACACAACACAGCATAGTTGTGTCAGTCAACTTCGTCTATACTAACAGTTCCATTTATAGTCTGCCCAGTAGTATCACACCAACCTAACAGTGATGCAAAAATGACAAAACGATTTGGGTTGAGATCAAGCTGCCGTGCCACTTCGTGCATCAGGTACTGGCTGGTGGTGAGGCTTTTGCCGTTGCGGCTCAGTTTGAGGGCGTGGGCGCTGAAGTAGTATGGGATGTTGCACAGAGCGTAGTCTGAATCATAGGCCACCAGGCCATGGAAACCGGTCTCCCTGCATAAGGCTATCACTTCCAGGTGGTGGTCCTCGATGCTCTGAACAACCTGAAGAGTGTCCAAGAAAAGAATTAGGCTTTAGATGGGAAAGCCTCAAAATAAACCTCTTACATAGACATGGTGTATTAGGCACTCGAGGAAAGGCTACAGAAACAGGATTACAAACCAGGTTCAGTTTTGTGTGAGCTACTCTTAAGTGAATAAGCCTTCCACAGCTGATTGGATACTCGACGAATTATAGGCTTTATATTTAAAATGTTATCTAGAATATGTGTCATTCATTTATGAATACTGACACCACACGCATACAATTTACGACAGAACACATCCTGTAGGGCTGGGCGATAAAACAATATTGTATTAACAAATACACTGTATTTACGTTTAATCTGTACTCCACTTAATGCCAATCCAGCAGATCGAGCATCCCAAATTTTAAATAATAGAAAGCTAAAACTGGCAAGTATTCACAATAGGCAAGTTGGAAGTATTTTGGGGCATTTTTGTTTAAATCTTTATCAAAATAGTTGCCAGTTAATATTCTGTCATCTGGCTTATGTTTCATCGTGTGACTGGTTTCTTCTTCCAGCTTCCTTCTTTTCTTTCCTCTAGGACCTGGGAAGTTCGGTAAAGTCAGCTGGTTTTGCTCCTAAGCACACACCTGGCCTTTCATTGATCATCACATGCATTCACAGTCTGAGGTAACTAAATCAGAACAGCACTAAGCATTAAAGACCAGGCCGGTGACTCCACTGCTGACACTCTCAGAGGCACTGGGATTCATCGGCAGAGTGTGGACACCGCTTTTATCTCGGGTGAAGTTGTGATGAGCAGCTAGCAGGCTAACCACGACGCCTGCTAATGTCTGGGGCGGCTCTGGTCAACAGGAATTGCCAGGCCGAGTTTTCACTCACCCCGACGCGGAACCTGAGGAGCGCCAGTCGGATGCAGTGGGCCATGCACACGGGAGGGAGGAACCACACTTTAGGCGGCGGGGTGCCCTTGTTTTGGACGTGGCTGATGATCTGCTGGGCGGTCTGCCTCTCGTTTACCTGTCGCTTGACCCACTCGTGAAGACGGCCTTTCTCCAGGGCGCCATTGAAACACACTAGTAGCTCAATGTTGCCGTTGAAGCAGGCCTTAGAGAGTGCGGCCAGGTAGCCCAGCATGTGGTTCCACTGGCCCCCGCTGACCCAGTCGGTGTAGAAGCCTCCGTAGAGCCGGTGGAGGCAGTTCTCGGCGTCCACCAGCAGTCTCAACGGACTCTGAGGGGATCTTTGCCGGCCGCCCCCAACCATACTACCCCGGGCCAGCTTCTGGAGCTCCACCGGCACCACCGCGCTGGGGCAGTGCTTTTCAATATACTCTTGGAAACCTTGAACACCCATGTTGCGCGTCTGTTAGAAAAGACGAAGTGAGTGTTTAAAAAAGCAAAATATCAGAGGATATTTAACCGAAAGGGGTTGCAGTGCGCCTCTCCCATTGACTGTGACTGAACACCGGTTTGTAGCTGTGGTTATTGCAGGAGTTGAATAATTTAGGAATTAACGTAATAAGGCTGCTATTTAGGCATCGTGAGTTGTTTTGGGGCTCATGGCTGCTAGCTGCCATGTGTCGCTTCACGGAGCCATGTCTGCGGTTGTGAGTCTACCCGGAGTGAGAGGGAGCTGGAGGGGAACACATGACGACATGACGCACAGGGATACGTGGAAACCATAGTCTGATAAGAAAGGTGGAAACCAAGAGTGTTCCGTGCTGCGTACTTCCGTATTTGCTTAATTTCAGTGGAGAGTGTAATTTCACGCAGCTAAAGCCAAAACCTTTGCTAAGTCAGTTAAGAAACGATACATGAGTTCCCTTGACAAAATTAATGTGTGTATATATAATTTCTATAAAAGTCAGCGGATGTTAATTTGTCAAAGAGGAAGTTTTATGTGATCTGTACAACCGCCCTTTACAGACAACTTTAGCTAACTCCCATGAAGGGAAGGAGTTTCATTTTTATTATACAAACAGCAATACAATAGGCAAGCACAATGTATAAATAATAAATAAAATAAAATGAGCATAAGCAAATACAGGCACATCTGTCTTTCTTTCAGCCTAAAGAAAAAATAAAGTTGTAAATAAAAGGGCCATTTTCACAGCAATAACAACTCATACTACTCATAAGAAAAAGGGCTCTTCAGTTTATAATGGCATAGCTGATTAGGATGTCGCAAAAAGTGAAACATGCTGGAAAGCACTCTTAAAATGTCCGTTTGATCAAGTTATGTTATGGAGTGAGGTTTCCAAAGGTTGGATGGGAACCATCTTGACAAGGTTGAATCTTTGGGTTTGAGGGTTTTGTTTCCTGACTTGTGGTGTGATCACACCATAGACTGTATACAAAACGGTCACACTTCTGTTTCGTACTTGCTGTCAGTGCCAAATCCGTGCCGCCTGCCAGATCCGTTCTGCACATGCGCAAAAGTGGTTCTGTCGAACCGAAGGTTACCGCAAATCTGCCCATTCAAATTGATCCAACAAATCTTTCAAATCAAGATAACAAAATGTTTTTTAATCAATGGAGATTAGACTGTTCACTATGATGTAATAGGAATATATTTAAGTTATGAAAAACCTTATACAACCGTACATTTTTAATTTCTAGCCGCAAGAGGCAATGATCGGGATCCAAGCAAGTCCTGAAAAATACAGCATTTGACATTTTTATGAGGAGAAGAACAGATGCAGATGATTTAAGAGATTAATGTGATGAAGGAATTTGGACTTTGAGATATTGCTGAATTGCAAACTTGATTTTTACAGCATCACCTTGAGATCAAAGTGTATCATTATATGCATCTGACTACTGGGTGAAAAGTTCAACCCACCTGCCACATTTTGTGTTTCCAAGTTTTAAAGTTTAAACTTCATAAACACTTTTTAGCAGAGAAAAATAACAAGACAATGTCACGGGATCCAAATAAAATAGAGAACTTAAGCATCACTCTGAACACCCCTGTTGTCAGCAAGTCTGACTTGGTCACCTGGGGATTTGAACCCTGGAACTTCAGGTTGTTAAAGTAGGTGACTTATTGACTAAGCTGCTGGTGAGAGGGTATTTCCATGCACCTTCTCGCGAGTTGAGGTGGTGACGTCACGTGTGCCAGATGTGGATAGTTTTGTCTGTTTAAACTAAAAACACTTACAACAGTCAAGATGTTGGTGAGAAAATTCTGATAACAAATCACACATCATTCTACTGGTTTTGGGTGTGTTGTCAATTATTTTGATGGCATTTGATCCAAAACTGAGTAAAAAAGAAAATGTTATGTATACTGTACAAGTTATAGCAAGATACTGAATATCACTGCAGCACTTGATATCAGCCATCCACAGAATGTCTGTCTTGATTTTGGTAGCGTTGGAACAAAGACTGATGGAGATATAGATGTTAATTGATTTAGCATATTCTGAAAAATATAGAGTGACTGACTTCTGAATTGACCATAGGTTGAAGTGAGGCAAACGTTTGTCACATATCAGTGGATGTGCTGAAAAAAAGTTCAGCTCTCTAGGACATGATTTTCTTAGATTTCTTAGAAGTTTGGACTGAGAAATGTCTAGAAATTTACATTTGTTGTAATATGCCACGCCCACTTTGAGCAATCATTCCAAAATTTTATGCATGAACTGAATAGTGACCCTAGATTGTATAGTCCGAATTTTGTACGAATCCATGCAGCAAATTACAAGGTATAAACTTTGCAAGTGTATGGAAGAATATCCCAGGACTAATCAGCAAAGCTCGAATTGAGCATCTGAACAGACGTGTCAAGTTTGGTTTCAATAGCTTAAGCCAATTTTGATTTATAGGCATTTATATAAAATAAATAAAGACAGAAATGTAAAAATGTATGGGAAAAAAAACAGATGGACATATCAAAATTCTTTTGATAACTTTTGATCAGCGACGTCCGTAGATGATCCAGTCAAAGTTTCAGGTCAAATGGCGAAACCGTCTGGGACGAGTTTGCAATAATAGATATTAGAAATCAATTTGACATTTTTAGAGCAGAAGACCATTGGAGCAAAGATGCAGATGAATCCAGAGATTAAAATGATAAAGAAGTTTTACTTTAAACAAAGCCGTTTTCAAGATAATTACCAAAACGTAAAGTTGATTGTTATAGCGCCACCATGAAGTCTATGAGTGCCATTTGGTTTTTTTTTGCAGAGCTAGCTACTAGCGCTTCCGGTCTAGACAGGGCATCTCAGACAGATGCGCCCGGGGGAATCTCATACGTACGCCGAAGGGTACCTTGTGCAATCAAATAACGCTTTGTCAGCCTTTCTGAAAGCGTCAGTATTTGAGGCCCTGAGATGGGAGACAACAACACCCGAGTAATTAAGAACAGGCACCTTGTGGTAATCTTCTTTGACAGACAGGACCACTTTTACGCATGTGCAGATAGGGATCCGACAGGCAGCACGGATTTGGTACCTACAGTGGCTAACTAGCTGTGGTAACATATCGCGAGGAAGATGACCAAAGATGACTTGTGAGAGAGTTCCTGTGTTTCCGCTTCCTCTTAGCTATCATGCTTCTGCTAACTTCAAGGCTAGCTAAAATAGCTAGTTTGCCCTAGCTACATCATGACTTTCCGGCATTTGCTATCTGGTTTAGGTCTAGCTAGCAATACTACTTCCCTTGCAGGCTTGATCACCCACAGTCAAGGTACCTACGTTGGTTGATATAGTTGCTGGCTTTTTTGTGACACTGCGTCCTAAGCAGACATCTAGTGTTACCAGTGCCCTGATGGCATAGCACACTAATGCCACTCAGGCTTTGTCACTAGCTAGGCTATAGCTGGCTAGCTGTTTCATCACCTAAGTGTGAAGTCATTCTCCAGTTACTTTTCTCTCATACTTGAGACCAAGCGGCTTAGCCTTGGTTCCCGGTCACGAAAGGTTTCATCACCGAATTGTGGTCGACCTGTTCATAAGCAGGGAAATAGTGCATAGTGTTCTCCATGACCTCCATAGGGGCGGCTGTGGCTCAGGAGGTAGATCGGGTTGGCCGTTAATCGGAAGGTTAATCCCCGGCTCCCCCAGGCTGTATGTCGAAGTGTCCTTGGGCAAGAGACTGAACCCCGAATTGACAGGCGGCTGTTCCGCCAGTGTATGAATGTGTGTGAATGGTGAATGCAGATGTTGCGTAAAAGCGCTTTGAGTGGTCGAAAAGACTAGAAAGGAGCTACTGTATACAAATATGGAGCATTTACATGGTTCTCAGTGTCACTCTCCCACTGGAGGTGGACATTTTCACTCATCCATTATAGCCCTCTAGCCTGCTCCATGTCTTCCTGCCTCTGAGGCTGTTGATGCTGTTGCCTTGTAGAATCAAGTTGGAGTGGCTGTCAAAGTGGTGGTACCAGGTGGTACTGGGTGATGTAATGGAAGGTTCACACACTGTGGCTTTCTACCTGTTGCTGTTTCCCCAGTAGGAACTGCAGGCATTTTTTGGGAAATCTTTCTTTCTGGACTGTGGGCCGAGGGGGCTCCCCTGATGGCTCAGAGGCTAGCGCTTAGTCGCCTGGTATGATTTTGCACAGGTTGTGAGGCATTGGGTAGTGCTCCCCAGATGGGGCCAGGAACACTGCCCCATCAACTGAAGTTTACAGGAGTGTCATTGGAAGAAATTGTTTGGCTACTTTGTGGTTTCCCATTTCTAGTGCTGTCATATCTCAGGGTTATGATGTCTGGTTGTATGTCTTACTCGGTGCTAGATACAACGACTGGGGGGGGGCACCATCCGTGACTTACACACTCAGGTTACACTTGGTTTCAAGCTTGATGGCATGTGGCTGGACTGTGCGACCCCCAGGCAGGCAGTTCTCAGTAGCCTGGCCACTTACTATCCTTTGCCCAGTCAGCAGTTGGGTCCGAGTTGCTATATGGACGGATTTGGGCCCAGCTGGGTGTACATCACAACCCTAACAGCCTTTTTCCTCGGGTGGTAACAAATAGCGAAGCCTGTTAGGGCGTACTACTTACGTAATAGTATTAATAATTCATTGAGTTCTATGAGTAGTGCTGAGTTCAAAAGGGAGATGAACTGCTGGTGTTATTTAGTATGGGGTTGCTATCTCATGACCTCATAAGAGGTGAGTGCAAAGATCGGTCTCTGAAAGATCTGAGGTGGAGCCTCGATGGGGTTAACCAGTAGCAGGCCTACTAGAAGGCTATGCACATACTCATAGAAATAGAGTTACCTCCAGTAACTACTATTCTTAACTCCAAACCTTTAGTGTGAACAATTTTGATAATATGTAATATTGATGTTTTGATCTGAACAATTTCCAAGTAGAGAATATTTACATTTTGGTTTTTATACTTGTATTAAATTGAAAGATGAGAGAGCAAAACACATAAATTGTATTCTGTTAATGAAAGTGACTTGATGTAAACATATATACATAGGCCTATATATTCCATTGAATGATAAATCAGTCATGAAGCGAATTCCTGTTCTGTCCTGTAGATAATCTGAAGTTCCTTCAGCCTGATTAATGCCACGTTAGAGACCGGTTGGAACTCCAGTTGAAACTTCTGACCTCAATGCGTTGCAGGTGCATGGTGGTGTGTGACGCCGAAAGTAAACGAAAACCATGGCTGACCGTGACAAATTGTGCACACAGTTGCACCCTCAGCAGTGTTTTAGGTGTTAATTAAAAGAATGGCACTGACATAAATAGCCTATACTTTACTAGTTCTGTGTACCCCTCTAGCTACATCAGTTGGTAACCCTCAAGTCAGTCAATGTTGTAGGTTACACTTCCTAATGTTTTTGCATTTTTAACAATAACTTTTAGGAAGAGAAGATGGCTTTATGAGATTCTTTACTGTAGCCAGCTACCTACTAGGCCTAACATATTTCTACATCAATGTACATGGAGAACAGGTTTTACTATATGACCGTATGTATTATTTGAATTTAAATACATGCAAATATACTTTTTACTGCTTTTTTGTTTATGGTTTACCATTTACAGTGTGTGCATCCATGGGCGCTGCCATTGTTTTGTGACGTAATTCAGCTGCTACTCATGAAGTCGGGGTACATATTTTTTCTCCCAGTTCACAAGTAGGAAATACGACTTCAAGTGGGGTTCCAGGGTAGTTTTTCTAGTTCCGAGTTGCCTGGAACGCAGCATAAGTAGCAAAAAGCATGTGATTGAAGTCATATCCCAACACTACAGCTAGAGGGCATCATACAATTATGAACTGCTTGCATGTGCATCAGTCATTCAGTAGTGGACCTCTCCTTACTTTTTTGCAAACTTTAACATTTTAGCTAATAAAGTGACAGTAGTAGTGACACAGAGCAACCATAAACCAAGGATGCAGAATAATGCCACGATTACAAGTGCCAAACCTGCTGAAGTGTGTATACTGCACACCATTTGCTTTACAAGAACTGAAAAGTTCCCATACTCAAAACTGACTCTGTGACAGCCAGACACACTTGAAGCAGAGCGGAAATGTGTGCCTCTCCGATGCTCTGCTTTAGATACATGTACAGCAGCGGTGATCATGTTATTGTACTGACACTGTGTGCTTTCTCTTTTATTCTTCATTACTGTACTGTAAACTTAACAGTGTTTTGATGTTTAACACTATTCCTTTTTGTTAAGTTTTGGTCATACTCTTGCAACCAGGATTGTAATCATAGCGACCAACCATCTGGTCGGTTTGATTTTGGTGATGCTTAAAACTGAACCTTCAAGACAGTGAATATTTGGGGTACTAAACTATGAAAAAGTGCACATTTACATTACAATTTATTAGTTAATCTATCCAGAAATACCAGATGTTTCTGATATTTCACATTGTGGCACAAAGGCAATCAAAACATAATTTTAATTAGAGAGTCAAAATACAAATAGAAAATACAAATATCAGAACTGCAACTATAAAAAAAGATATTTTGCCTTGTTTGCAGTAAATTTAGACATACAGCTTTCAAGGTTTTATTACATTGTTGGGCCGTCATACCGCCTTCAAGGTAGGGAGTAACGAGATATTTCAGACATTAGTTGTACATTGCTGTCATTGTACAGGGTTATTTTACTGACAGGACTTTCTTTTTTAAAACTGTGTGATCAATATATATATATATATATATATATATATATATATATATATATATATATATATATATATATCACATTTTCATGTAGTTTTCAGTTTTTGATATTTATATGAATAAATACAACATGTATTGTATTCAGTCTTTTATCAAGAAAAGTTTGGGAATGCATAACATATTTTTTTTAGAATATTTACATAGATATTCACAAAACGTAGACTATATCAAACTACTACCCTGGAGAGTATACCCTTCACAATAAAGTAATAAAATACATAAATCCTCATAACAAACAATATTCAGAAAATATAAAATTGTTGTAAATTATATAAAACAATTACATTTTATACTTTATATTTAAAATTACATTTTAAAATTGGCTTGAGTACAGTATCCTAAATGTGCAATTTATTTTAGAACTCCACTATGTCGTATTATTTAAGTACAAATACAACTCCATATTTGAATTGTTCTGCTTGTCACAGCGACTTTTTCTAACCAAAAAACAACACTTTAACCAGTACCTGCATTCATTAAGATAACAACATTCAGCAAAAACTAATTATCTTTTTGGCTAGTGAAGCTTGAAGGTGGCTGAATATGAAATCAATGAAAAAATAAACAGAATGATGATTAAACCACTATCTTTTGCTGTACAAACAAATCAATATGCTTGATATGCAGACTCTCAGAGGTCAAGCGATATCCGAAAGTGCTGTGCTCTTTGGGCCAGTTCCTTTGCAAACTCTTGAGCCTCGTGCAGAGCTTGACTATCCGGGAAATGCAGTGCTGCCTTCTTGGTGGCCACAGCCAGCTGCTTAAGGAGGGCACACAGGTGGTTGCTCTTACACAGGAGGCTCTGGCTGGACCCTCTACGTTGGGCCTCTCTGCACAAGGTGTCCACCAATCTCTGGCCTACCATGATCACCAGCTTACTTTGTGAGATAAATTTTTCTGGTGGCTGGCCATCCTGAAGACTGCTCACAAATCCTCCAATGGCCTTCTGGAGAGCACCAAAGTAAAGCCGGCAGTGCTCTGACAGAGGGGATGGTTGATGTTCTTCTGTGCCACTGCCGAACTGAGAGGAGTCGCGCTTGTTATCAGTCTGAGCAGTGATGAAATGGAACAAAAGGAGGTGAGGATGGCCACATATTAACATTAAATCCTGGTTAACATTATAGATGGATGTATAAAAAGAACATTTTTTTTTTTTTTCAAGAGGCAACGGTGTTTTTATCATGCTCATTAAATAGGAACAAATCTCTTGGATTAATAGAAGATACTCACCCGTGCCTTGTTAGAGACTGGTGTGACATTTTCTTTTTGTCCCTTCTGCGCGTCATTTTGATGCTTTTCAAAAGCATTCTTAGTCTAAGGAAAAGTCAATAGCAAAAACATTAGTATTAGTACGCCTTGGGTTTTCCTTGGTTACAGCTCATCATTCAGTTAACATGGTAACCTATATTATTTAGAATGACGTAAAAGATTAGGAGCATCACCTGTAGCTCTACATAGTCATTGTCGTCTTCCAGTATGTCCCCTCCTTGTTCACTTCCATCAGGACTTTTCTTTGTCTCTGGATCTTTCTGAGGGACTCTGAACAGAAGCTTGCCATTGGCATTGATGATGGACACTAGGCGCTTGATGTCCTCTGGAACAGTGCGCGCCACCATAACAAAGCGCTCCAGTTGGTCAGGTATCTGGACCTGCCCCGGGTCCTGACAAAGCGTATTGAGGGGCCAGCCAGCCATGTTCAGAGCACTAACTGTTTGTTGTAGGATCATACCTGAGTCTTCTACGATGGACAGCTGTTTATAGAGCCTTGTCTTAAGGTTGGCATCGGTCAAACGGCGGGCATTGCCTTTAACGTCCAAGGAAAAGTTTAGGAAGGACGTCAGAGAACATGTAATGTCCTCAGCTGCTTCTCTGATCTCCTTCAGGTGTTTCTCCAGATGTTCTTTGATCCTCCAGTGACTGCTGACAAATTCCATGAGTCGGGGCACGGCTCTGCAAACGGACTCATGCAGGTCTAGAAGTTTGCGGCAGGCCTCGTCCTGGCTGAGCGTTACTTCTCGCAGAGGCTCTGGAGAGGAGGAGCTCAGAGCCAGGGAGTCACAGGAGCTGGTGGAGGAGCTGGAGGCCGTGCTGATTCTTTGACTGTCTGCTGCAGAGAGACATAAGGTTCTACCTCGCTCGTTGTCCTCCTGTGCCAGTGACTCCCCACTTTCTGGAAGGTTATGGAAAGACGTACAGGCCAGGAAGTTTCTCATTCGCTGCAGACGCACCCTTGTGTGTTCATGAGCATTGCTTGAGTCCACCCTGCACTCTAGGGGTATATGATCACTTGGGGAATCACTGAGAACCCGGGTGAGGGATTCCTCCTGGGGTGGAACCACAGATACTGATTCCTCTGGGAGCCTCTGAGTTAGGGGTTTGTCATAAATCGGGACCCTTGGCAGCACTTTGGGTGGACTTGGGATGTCAAGAGAACTGGGTTTTGGTACATCATAAAGTGCGGAAGTTGGACTGCCTCTTTGAATGGGCCAAGCATGTGCTGGAAGAGTGTCATAGAGCTGCCTGCAAACAGCTTTGGAGGGCATGGTATCATAGGAGCCTTGAGGTGGACTTTGTTTCTCAGGACCCACTGGCACATCATAAATCCACTCAGGCTTGTGGAAGTTGGGAAGGGTGTTGTATCCATTGATTATTTTCTGTTTGGCCTCTGTGGCTGAGGGAACAGGGATGTCATAATTTGGGTCCTGAGGCAAAGGGGGTGGAACAGCATACACCTATGCACAACAACAAAGTTGTCAATTTCACGGAAAGAAAAGAACTTTAGAAATGAAGCAGACATTCATTTCTACTTAGTAGAAAGTAAGTATGCTTCAAACTTAGTGCTTGTTGGATCGTCAAAGAGCGCCTCTTCCCTACACCTTTCTGATGCAGGGGTATACTGTGAAAGTGCAAAAATTGTGTGCGTGACAGTCAGTTATGGTTGTTTTTTTAATGTAACTACATATGCATTTATTCTTTTCTTCTCTTTTTCTCTTATCTTCTGGTTCCCTTTAATTCATAAAAACAAAACAGCACAAATCTCATTCTGACTTCCTGAAAACAAATGAAAAGATGTCTAACATAAATACAATGGTGATATCCGTTTGGTGGTCAACCGGCCCAGATGGCCAGTATATGACACAACCTCAGAATTGGGGGGTTGGTCATGGTTGGAACATCTCTCTCATGCTCTACTACTACTTTTCATGTCTAAAAAGAAGTTCAAATAAAGACTGCATTTTAAAGTGAGCACATCATAGATTCCTTACTTCATTAATCCCTCCAAATGTCTGAAACTTACGTAAGAGTCTCCTGGACTGCTACACCTTAAACTCTCCGGAGAGTCAAATCTTTTCTCCAGCTCCGAAACTGGAGGCAATGACTGTGTTTGCGGCATATGTCTTGGAGTTGTTGATGCCTGCAAATAGAACATCACAATAACAGTAGAGACATCAGACCAGTAACCACTAAAGTGGCACAATATCCACAATTAGTCACTAGTCACTACTTTTGATGCATTTTATTGTGTATATTTTCAAGAGCTCACAGTGAAAGGAGAAGCTCGTCTTGCTTGGCTTGGAACATCATAAACCTCCCCTTTTGGACTGGACGCCATGCTGAAGAATGAAGGCTGCAGACAAGACAGACAGGCTATAATATTGAGGCTGACTGGCAACACTTGCACTGCTTTGATCAAAGCTACATCTACCTCACTGACCTCTACTTCAACGCATTTATATGGACAGTGTTTGCTCTGAAGCCCGTTGAGAGTACCGGAGAACCCCATCATGCATGCACTTTGCCAATTAACGCAGCTCTATAATAGAAACCATGCTGCTCATTGAATATTAGGTGGCTACTGCAGAAGGGAACACGACTCCCCTGGAGCAGGAAAGGAAATGGTGAACATGTGGGTATATTTCTTCCCACCTTCTGCTGCATAGGCAACCATACAGACACTTCTGTCTTTCTGAAGTCTCTGGCGGCATGGGCTGCTGTTTGCAGTTAAAAGTGTCTGAAGTCTGTGTCTGTTTGTCTTTTACAGGCCCATAAAGACCATGGTGCTGCATGCCTGTCCCCAGGGAGAGGCCAGTGGTCCCCATCTGAAAGCTCTTTTGCCAGCAGGGGTTTCACAGCATAGCATTTCTGCAACAGTCTACCTCTCTAATTGTGAGAGTGAACACTTCCCAAGGAAAAGGACAAACTTTGACCCCAGAGAAATACACAGACTAATATCTGCTATTAGGTTTTTGCTCTTTTCTACATAAAGTCAATCATACTGTACAAAATTAATTTGTACCTTGTTTCTCTCCGGTTCTTCTGTGTTGTTCTTAAGTGCTGATAGGGCTGGACTTTTTGAAGCTGATAAAGGAGTGGACGGGACCTTGTAGATCATGTCCATGCGTTCATAAGCCGAGCTGCTGGACGGTCGGGGAACACTTGGGATCTGGTAGATATTTTTCACACTGTCATCAGTTTTAACATCAATTGATCTGAGATTTTCTGTGACAAGGATTGAGGAGCCTGCAGTGCTTCCAGTTTGCACTGTTAAAAGCTGCAGTCTATTTGCAGGGGCCAGGCCATGCCGTCCATAAAGAGAGCACATCCACCATCCGCTGGTGCCGGCCACATTTTGATCCATCACCGTGATGATGTCCCCTTTTCTGAAGGCCAGCTCATCTGCACACTCTGCAGTGTTGTCATACAGAGCCTTTGCAAGTTTGTTCTAAAATAAAGAACAGAGAAAATGGAAATAAAACGTAGGGTGAAAACAGCAGGTCGTGTGTGGCACATTTTAAATGACAGAAGTTTTTTTTCCTGCTGAAGGCCCATGACAACATTTCCTTTTGCAAAATGTTGCTACGAGTTGCACATCTGAGTCCTCATCACATTCACAAGGAAGTATTGCAGTCATTTCATAATAATCATAATAACACACAACTAGTTGTCACAAAGTAACTATTTCCCATTTATTTAAAGTGTTTGTGAAACAACAACAACACAAGTGGAGCTCTTATTGTTTTGAATGACATCTTTCCTTCTCTGTATTTTCACTTCCTAGTTGTGCTTCCTACAGAGAAATAAATGGAAAACAAGTTCCTTCAAAGCTTCCTCTTACGTGCTTGCAGGCGTCCTATCTCCTCAATCCAAAACTACATATACATATTTTTAATCCAAGAATGATCACAGACTATTATGCATGGATGTCCTTTGTATGTTTCCCTGTAAAGTTGCTGCCATGTTTTGAGGCATTCTTCACTGTCACGAAAGGTAGAGCTCATAAACTGCCCAGCTTTTTTCTCGATGTGACAAATCTAAATCAGACTGGGCAATGACCACATACAAGGAAGTGTGAAATTTTCTTTTACTTCAACCTCTCTGCTGCAGTGGCTTGTTGTGTAGGTAGAGACAAGCTGTGACTAATAAAACATGCCTTGCAACCAAAACCACTAGGCATAGCTGAATTCACACCCAGCAGGTTGTGGTTTGACTTACTGCGTAGCTACACAGAAAGAATGGGTGTTCACACTCAGTGGGAACAGAACCAATGTGTCCCACACCAAAGGCATGGGTCTTATCCACTGCACCGCCATCATCCTCCATCTGGACATTTCAGCAGCATTTGACAGGGCAAACCACCAGATCCTCTTCTCCACCCTCCAGGAACTGGCACTGCACTCTAACCCTGTTCACATCCTACATCAAAGACTGCACTTACAGGGTAACTTGGAGAGAACGTGTGTCTGAACCTTGTAGCCCCCCTTCTGGGGTCTCTCAGGGTTCTGTTCAGGGTCCTCTCCTCTTTTCTCTCTACACAAAGTCAGTGATATACTTGATAATTGTTTGCAATTTTTGGGTCGTATCCACATGGTTGAAAAGCACTTACTGTACTTTAGATGAAAGTCAGCTAAATAAATGTAACGCAAACATTTTAGCTCTTTAGCTTATATTGTTTGATTATTATTACTGATGCATTAGCATATAGATATAATTTTATGTTGTACAGGTAGTGGAGCTAAATTTAACTACTTTATATACTGTTTGATAGTTAAATTCTTAATCTATAACAATGCTTTATATTTTATCAGCAATAATATGTTTGTTTGTAATCTTAATCTACAAAGTAACAATAACTGTCAAATAAATGTAATGGAGTATAAACTATTAACTAAAATATGTCCCTCTTTAACATAGTGGACTAAGTATACAGAAGCATAAAATTATACAATACAAGTTCCTCAAATGTGTACTGATTCCTGAGTTAAAGTACTTGGTTACATTCCACCACTGACACGTTGAGAAGTGCAAGAAAATGAATAATTATATAGAATTATACCCTCGACAAAACAAACACACACCCCACCCTCAGCTGATAAGTGTGTGTCTTTGTGTCGGGGTGGGGGGTTCTTAGGCTCTGCTATCTGAGGGTGAATCCTTTGTAACAAAGAGCCCATTCACCATCAGAGCCCAACAACACGCTCAGCACCTGTTAGGATGCAAGCCTGTAGAGCACACTGACCGCAGCAGACTATGCCCCCCCCCCCCCTTCAAGCACACGCACACACACAGCCTCAGCAAACTCCCTGCCTAATCCTCTGGGTCATGCTACAGACATGCAAGCGAAAAAAACATAGGGTCAGATGACAGTCAGCGACAGCACCACAAAGTTTACGTTATTGTACTTCCTCATTTGGAATCATGAAAGTGCACTATCCTAAGATGACGTTAGCAACTGACATTAGCAAATTACTTGTGTTGCACAAAATGTATTTTATCCACCCAGACATGATGTGTGTGTAAATAGCCTGCAGAGTTTCAGAGCCTGTAATTGCAGTGGGCCATGTGACCTGTTAATTGGGAAACTTTACTTTTTGTTTGGTTTTTCTTCGTTTCCAACCACGCCTCGTCACGAGAAACTGAAATTCATATCACTTGTCCTGAGCAGAAGTCCTGGCCTTGTGCTGTCTTTGTCCGGCTTTTCGGTCTGTATGTTGATCACCCAGTACAGTAACAAAGTCAGATTCAGCTGTGACTCTTTTGGATTCCTGCACACGCCTGCTTGTGCAGATCAGGCCCTCTGACAGCTGGCCTTCAGCACTTTAACCGCACAGCTGTCTCTGCCTCTCCCTCACCTCTCCCGTCTCTCTGCTCCATCCTGTTCACAAATTAACATCGGCCGTCAGACACAACGCAAGAAATGCTTTTAAAAAGTCCTGGAAAGAAGCTTCTGTTCAGACAGTAAGCTACCTCCAAGCTACCAAATTAAGCTACTTCAGGCCATCTCAGCTATATCGAATAAATAGAAAGCTGGATGTGGAGTGTTTGCACTGTTTGCTCTAAGGCAGAAAGAATACAATTCTATTTTTAACTCACAGTAATATGATTTCCAACTGTTACCCTTTCACCAAACACTCAAGTTGGACTTTTTGATTAGTCACTCTAAAAAATTAAACAAGAAAACAACCAAAAATTGCCCCACTACTAAAGATTGAAATTACTTTTTTGTTCAACCAACACTCCAAAATCAATCAATTTAAAGCAATATAAAAGTGAAAAGCAGGAAAGTTGCACATTTGACCAGAGAATGTTAGGCATTTTTGCTTCAAAAATTACTTAAAGCAAGACTGTGTAGCTTTTGCTGACTTTTCCAGTGTGAAAATTATGGGATAATGCTGCATTCTAAAACCTAGTGTAACAGTAGCACAAGTGGACAAGAGTCATAAAGTCAGAGAACTTACTTAGTAATAAATAATAATAATAATAGTAACACTTTTCAAAAACAAATTTACAAAGTGCTTTACATGGTTGAATCAGGATTGACACAGGCAATCAAATTAATACAGAAATAAAATTTAAAAAACAATAAAACGATAAGATAAATATTTGAAAAGAAATCTAGTAGCAGCTGTGTTTTGAACTAGCTGAAAGCATGAGATAGTTTTTTTGGCTGAAACCTGAATACAATGAATAACAGTAATTTAATCGAGTTGATATGAAACCATGCATGGCCTTCTCAAGAAAGATGAGATTTGAGATGCTCCTTAACTGATAAAACATGAACAAGTTTGCAATTTGTTTTTCAAATGAAAGTTCCCCGTCAAATATCACACCCAAGTTTCTGGCAGCAGGTTTGATAATTGAAGACAGGGATCCAAGATGTTTCGGTAAAATAGGGATGGACCTTGGGGGACCAAAAATAATTATTCCTGATTTGTTGAACACTTTTCTGACAGCCAGGATAAAATACTTTTAAAATTGCATTCTTCACTGGTTTTTAATGGGACACAAATTTGTCTGACATCTGCATAACAAGACTGGATTGTGTGTTTATTTATGATATATTCCAGTGGTAGCATGTACAGAAAAACAAGGGGCAATGGATGGAGCCTTGGGGAACACCACATGTCAGAGGGGCTGCCGAAGATCACTGAGAAAGTCTTGTTTGATAAACAGGATATAAACTACTTAGAGCAGTGTTCCTGATGCCAACCCTACTTTTTCTAATAGAGTGATCCACAGTGTCAAAAGCAGAGCTCAAATCAATAAGAATTCAAATCAAACCAGCAGCAGTTGGATGAGAGCAGATTCTGTCTGAAGTAAACAGTCTTCTCTAAAACCATTGATAAAAATGGTACTTTGGTAATAGTCATTTAGATTTTTCCAGGTGCTATGGAGTCAGGAATAGCTTTACATTCATTGTTGAAGTTCTTTAGTATTTGTTCGGCTCAAATATTTAGATTTTTGGTTACTGCGATATGTAGATGTAGTGGTGAAGGCCTTAGGAAATCTGTCAGAAACAATGGTTATCACTGGACTAACGTCTGTGACACAGTAATATTTACCTAAAGATAGCTAACATTTGTTAACATAAGCTACTGGTCATAGCAGACCAGTTAAGGCAGTAGCAGCTAAACTGAGTGAATTGAAAGCGGTAATGGTGTGTTTTATTGCTTATGAATTCAACCCTTTAGTAAAAGAAAGGATATATTATATTACTTTGAAAAATGACATTGAGGTTTAATCAATTGATTGATTATCAAATAGTTCCTCGCTGAAAGGCAAGGAGTGGTGATTTATCCTCAGCGCATTAATATTCAAACTGACCATTACTGGTGTTTCATCATATACTGTATGATTCATATAGTTAGGTAACTATTATGCAGCCACTGAAGTGCATTAATCAGGCATATCTTAACAAGAATCAAAATCCCCATTTTTGAAAGTATGATTATTTTGGGTAACTTTTCCCCACATAATGAGAAATCACCTGTGGAGACACAATATTATGTGAACTTAATAAGAGTGTCCAATCCCCGAGACCCACTGGAACAGGAACCAGTCCAAGATGTGGATCCCAGTGTGGGAATGGCACCTCACTTTGACCTTTTGCCCCTTGACAGCCTGGGTACGACCCCGGGGGCAGGTCAGCATGGACACATGCCAGGCTCAGCACAACACCCACAGTGGCAGTGAAGAAATGTGTCACACGTGACTAAAGGTTTCCTAAAATATTGAAAATGCTTCATTTTCCCAGACAGAGTGGCGGGAGCAGGGTGTTCAAGATGAGGCAGGCCACATAGTTAACATAATCTCTTTTCTTGAATTTGGACAGGAAGTCACTCTGTAAATATGACATATTAGACTTTCCCACAGTATCTTAGATACAAAGACAGGGGCAGGGGGAAGACGAGAAGGACAGACAGGGAGAGACAGCCAATCAGAGGGAAAACACAGAGAGAGATTTGGAATCCCTGTAAATGATTGTCTTAGATGTTGGGAATTCGTTCCTGGTCGATCAATTTTATCATCTCAATGATCCTCAGACGTGTTCCATGGAAAATTACCTTTGTCAATCCTCTCTCCAACCCAAACAAATCCAAGAGGAGGCTGTGGAGACTAATGCAGGCTCTGTGGCAGTGACATTGACTCGCTACAGCTGCCCTGGTATTTCCTGTAAGGGAACTGTTGAGAACTTTGTCTAAATCTCATACACAAAGGCACACGACTAAAGAAAACTTCCTAGGACCTCTTCTTTTCAAAACTAAACAAAATAGCCTATTAAAGGTGGGCACATTGATGCAATGTCCAACAGATTATTTTGTTCTTTGTTGCATGCAGATCTCAAGATTTGCTTTACTCTGATCAGTTTATGTGCTGTTAATGTTAAAATAATTTAATTGGCAGTTCTTGGCAGTTGAAATATATCAGTTTGTCTTGAGAGGAACTGAACATACAGATGTGCTCACATTTGTTGGTACTCCTCCGCAAACGACAACTTTCTTTTAAATACTGTAACATGAAACTGACACAATTGGCATCCACCATTGCTTGTTCCACATTTAACAGAAATCAGAATTTGCTTTTGATTTTTTATTCAATATAATATTTTCAGTAATAAAACTAATCAAAATGACATGGACAATAATGATAGAACCCTTAACTTTAGGCAATCATTGCAATCAAATGTTTTCTGCAGCTCTCAGCGGGACTTCTGCACCTGTTAACAGGTAGTTTGGCCCACTCTTCTTGAGCAAACTGCTCCAGCTGTCTCAGGTTTGATGGGCACCTTCTCCAGACTGCAAGTTCCAGCTCTTTTCATAGATGTTTGAAAGTATTGAGTTCAGTGTTGTTCTTAGGCTGTATTCACATCAAATCAAGCATTGTGGCAGTTAGAGCAGGCTTGTGCAGCAGTGTGGGAGTGTCACTACGTGGCCCATCTGTGTGACGTGTGTGCTGATTGTAGCACAACTGGAAATATTAACCAGAAATCCCATTTCAAGAACGATCCAACGCCAAGTAGCTGCACAGCAATTAATGTCTTACTCATAGCTTACTACTGTGTACTCCCTCATAGCAGGTCTGTCTGATCAATCTCTGTCTTTGGTATGAATGCAGCCTTATCCATTCTTGGGTGCTTTTAGCTGTGTGTTTTGGGTTGTTGTCCTGTTGGAGGACCCGTGACCTTTGACTGAGACAAAGCTTTCTGAGAGTGGGCAGTAAATTTTGCTCCAGAATGCCTCGACAGTCTTGAGGTTTCATTGTACCCTGCACAGATTCAAGACACCCTGTGTCAGGCGCACATCTCTGGTCTTTGTTCAGTGTTGTGCACACGATGATATCGGCGTTTATAACAGCTGATTTATGACTATTAAAAAAGGAACGGAGTGTGGGATCCTTCGCTCTGCTGCTGACAGACGTGATTGTAGATTTGGTTCTGAAACAGTTTAGTGAAC